CTGTGGCCACTGTCTTCTATCAACTGCATCATCGTGGCCTTCGTCTTTTCCAAGGGAAAGCCCTTCCGGAAGCCCATCTACACCAACTGTGAGTAGATCTGGAGTAATATGTGCTCCAGATTCTCATTCCTGCCCCAAAATAACCCTGGCAGTAGAGGCTGCTGGGGAAGAGATGCTGTGGATTTTTCTGTACCCACACCAGTGACTGGCATGTAAAGCAACTGCTGGTGCACGTGAACTCCTACTTCTCCTTCTAAAAAAGCTCGGTGAGCAGTGCTTATGTTAGCTTATTCCTGGAGATGAGAAGCAGCAGAGCTGAAAAAGGAGACTGCATCTTGTTTTGGAAAATGTGTGCTTTCCAGGAGATGATGGGCTGGATTTAGAGCAGAACTGTGTATTATTGTGAGCACAGAGAGCATATGAGGATCAGGTTTCAAAATACACACATCAGAAGGAGTTCCTCTGAGATTCACAGTCTTACCTTGCCTGACTTCCATTCCTAGAGATGAGAGAGAAAAGCCTGTGATAATGTTACTGTTAAAATCCTCTCACAATAACCTTTTTTTTTCTGTTTGAGTTTTGCCGAGGCGATTTTGCTCTTCCAGCCACTGTTTGACTGACAGCTCCTTTATAATTGCAGCTCATGGATGAGGGAAGGACTTTGCTTCACCTCAGGAGAGTTGATTTTGTTAGGTATTTTGTTAAAAGGCAGGTCTCAAACCCATTTCACAGAGCACTGATCACCTGCAGAAGACAGGAGAGACCAGAAAGAAGCTGCCCTGCAAGCAGCCAGGCTGAGATGGGACAGAGGACTCTGTCAGCTCACAAATCTGCACTCGCTTCTCTCTGTTTTATCCCTGTTTGGGGACAATCTGTAGGAGGAAGAAAAGGGCAATTCCCTTGGTTTTGCCACCCATCCAGCCCTCTCCCCTCTCCTGCCTGGCAGTGAGAGGGTTGTCAGGAGGCCGTTGGGAGCAGTTGACCCAATTGACCAGCTGGTTTTAAGATGCTTAGCTCCTGGTAATTGCCAGGAGCTTGGCATCTCTGGACATCTGAGCCATTTGCCATCGCTCTGTGGCCTCCTGCTCCTTTGGAAGGGAATACAAAGCCAGACAAACTCTTTCTTGTGGAAGGCACAGGTATAGCCCACTTCTGCACCGAGTTGGTTGCACAAGACCTTCCCCACCCTGGCAGGACAGCCCATGGAAACACGCAACCTCCTCCGCTGCTTGCAGCCCAGGTGTGTGGCTGAGCACATGGAGGAGCAAGCACAGGAGAAGGGATGCTGGTGTGGCTCACAGCAGTGCCCTTTTGAGGCAGTTTTCTGTGGTTGTATAAGAATCAGAATGTGCCAAATCACTTATGCGAGAAAAAATGGTTGTATAAGAATCAGAATGTGCCAAATCTATGCGAGAAAAACCAGTGTAGGTGGTGAGCTTTGCAGCATGCTGCTGGGGAGTAGCTCCTCTAGTTTCAATTCCACAACTCTTCTTTTAGCTGGGGGGAAGGCATTTTACATTATGGCATTTTACATTTATGGCATTTGGGGTTCCTGTCGTGTATTTGGTCACCAACCTCCTTCCCTCCCAGGGCCAAAAATTCTTTTCTTTCCCTAGATGTGTTTTCAGTCCTCCTGACCCTCCAGCTTGCAGTCTGCCTCTTCCTCTTCTTTGCTGACATTGATGCTGTCTACAGTGGCATGGAGGTAAGTGCAAACAGAATGTGCCTTTCCTTTTTGTGCCACATACTTTGCTGGCCCTTTACCTAAACGTACAGAGCAGAAGCTACAGCTACAGTCATCTTGGAAATGAATGTGCTGGTCCAATGCTGACTGGGCAGTCCTTTCAAAACTTCTCTAACATCCTTCTGACAAGGGTTTAGTTAATGAGGTGGTCCTCTTTGCCTCTGAAGGGTGGCAACAGGGAGAGGAAAAAGAGCTTAGAGCTTGCTGAGATTTTCTTCTTAACAGAAAGGCACAATGGGGTTGGATTGTGGTTTTGCATGTGGTTTTGCAGGTGCCTCCAGCTGTGATGGCCAAAGCTGGGAATGGCCAGCCCTGTGGCTGGTCCCAGCCATCCTGCATGGGATGGATTCAAGTGGAGGCCTGGCATCAGGGAGGGCACACACAGAGTGAGAGGAGCCCCATGTTGTGCATTAGCTGCAGCTCCCCAGAAGTATTTGGGCACCCGACCCTGTCCCAGGAACCTGGTTTACTGTTTTCAGCAGTGGCCTAAGTAGCCGAGATGAGTTAGGCAGCTCCATGCTGTGGGGAATCCCTTTCCTTTTTGTGCCACATACTTTGCTGGCCCTTTACCTAAACGTACAGAGCAGAAGCTACAGCTACAGTCATCTTGGAAATGAATGTGCTGGTCCAATGCTGACTGGGCAGTCCTTTCAAAACTTCTCTAACATCCTTCTGACAAGGGTTTAGTTAATGAGGTGGTCCTCTTTGCCTCTGAAGGGTGGCAACAGGGAGAGGAAAAAGAGCTTAGAGCTTGCTGAGATTTTCTTCTTAACAGAAAGGCACAATGGGGTTGGATTGTGGTTTTGCATGTGGTTTTGCAGGTGCCTCCAGCTGTGATGGCCAAAGCTGGGAATGGCCAGCCCTGTGGCTGGTCCCAGCCATCCTGCATGGGATGGATTCAAGTGGAGGCCTGGCATCAGGGAGGGCACACACAGAGTGAGAGGAGCCCCATGTTGTGCATTAGCTGCAGCTCCCCAGAAGTATTTGGGCACCCGACCCTGTCCCAGGAACCTGGTTTACTGTTTTCAGCAGTGGCCTAAGTAGCCGAGATGAGTTAGGCAGCATCAAACCTCCCGAGATCTCTGTGACAAGGAATCACTGTCACTTCCTACTGCCTCCTCCATGCTTGCCACTGGGAAAATGTTAGTCAGACTCTCAAATCATTAGGAACAGATGCAAGTCTTGGCAAGGCGTTTAAACCTAATTGCTATACACGTCTTTTCCAACAGTTTCTTTGCACTCCTGTGATCTGGAGAGTTTACATCTTACTGATGCTCCTGCTCACCTTCTGCGTATCATTTTTTACAGAGGTGAGTGCATTTGTTTACAGGGTGAACAGGAGCAGCCTCTGGTTGGGTCTTTCTACTCCTATTTGCATCAACACTCTCCTCCCACAGAACCATAAACCCTCTGGCTTTATTTTTTTTTTCTTTCCCCATAAGACTTTATCTGCATCAATCAAATCCATTTTATGCAGCACCAGAGATTATTTAGGAGCACATCTCTTAAGCCTTTAGAGAGAGAGAGTGAGCTGAAGTGCAGCTGCCCAGGAGGAGCTGCTGCCCTGGCTCACAGGGGAACAGACCGCAGCACGGGTCAGGCCCCTGGCACTGATTTTAAAACAACTGCTTCCCTCTTGCCCTACAATCGATTGGGCCAGAGACTGTGCTGACTTTGCAGCTGGATGTTGCAGGAATGACTAAGCCCTAAAGCATTGTGTGGGTCGAGGCTGGCTGTGTCACCCCCGGGGTGACAGTCCCCTGCGAGGAGCAGCAGTGCCCAGCCATCCCACAGTGGAGGAAAGTGCCAGTGGAGGAAAAACATGCCCCCTGATTATCCCCTTCAGGCAAACAGACTGAGGTCGGTGTTGTCCTGGTAGAACCAAGCAGAGCCCTTCCTGTGGATGAGGATGGTGGCTTCTGGCAGCTGTGTTACTTAAGTGGGGGCCCACGCAGGCACCCAACGCTGTGCTCCCTGTGGGGCTCGGGGGTCGCACGTGTAGCAGGGGATGGCATTTGTCCCCCGAGCAGTCCTTCCTCCCAGTGAAGGGCAGCAGCACTGACCCTGCGCCGTGTCGCTCCACAGGATGTTATCCTGCAGAACAAGCACCTCTGGCTGCTGCTCAAAGCCTGGTTTGGGTACCAGTCGAAGAGCCAGTACCGAAAATGGCAGAGGATGCTGCAGAGGGATCCCAACTGGCCTCCCGTAAACAGAAAAGACTTTGCAGTGAAAAGCACGGATGAGGTTTACATTAACCCCACCTACGAACCCAGCAATGAGGACTAGGTGAGACCCTGCAGCCGGGTGCGGGTCCGTGCAGTGACGGCAGCTTCCCGACTCGCACTGACCAGCCCATGTTTTCATCCCTTGATGTGCACCAGAGTCAGATGCTTGAAATCCCTGCACAATCCCAGCCATTCAGGGGCAGGCTGGGCCCACGCTGGCACCGTCCCGGAGCACAGGCAAGGATTGTTCTCTCAGCTGCTGGTAAAATAACAGCCTTGACTCCACTCCATGGCAACAGCAGATCTTGGACCTTGCCAACACCTCCTACAAATGCTCAAAAATACTGAATACTGCGAAGCGATGGCTTCTGCTGCTCCATGTCACACTTTTGCTCCATGTTTCAGCTGCTGCTCCACCAAATCCTGTCAATGTACCCACTGGGTTTGATGGGAAGGCAATCCAAAATAAGTGACCTAATCTTGACCGCACAGAGTAGCACGCGTACAATTGCAAAATCCTGCGTTAAATGAAACACTGCAGCTTCCAAGAACTACAAGAAAGTTTCCGAGATGAAGTAATACCCATTTTCTTGCATCCTGGAGCGAATTACAGATGTGAGAGGGCACATACACTGCCCTCACCCAGCTCTCCCTTGCCAGTTCTTGCAGAGACATGAGGCTCCGAGGACAAGAAAGGTTAAAGCTTGAGGACTGCTGTAGGACCAGGCTGGGAAGGCTGTGCATCCACAGCTGCTGTACACACACAGCCCCCCCAGGCCGTGCCCTGCGGCTGCCAGGTCCTGCCTGAGATTTGGTGTCACGCGGCAGAAAGCAGGGCTAAGCCTCGAGGTCCTGCTGCAACTGGGTCACACCACGAAGCCGGGGTTCTGACGTGCTCTGGTGCACGGCTGCCAGAGAGGTACAAGAACCTGAGCCCCTCTGTACCCGCTCTTCCATCTTCAAATCGTTCAACCACCTAAGTAGTTCACCCAAGAAAGAACTTTTGATTACGTTTGCAAGAAACAAAAAAGGAGTTTCAGGTTCTGTTTTATTATAATACATTTTTCCATGTTAAAAAAGAAGAAATTTATTCAAATGTAATAACAGAGGGCATTACAGACTATGACCAGAAGTCTTGGCTTTGTTATTTCAAACATTGAAACAACTGATGTTTAAAAAAAGCTTCTGATCCCGTTATGTACATGTTAAGAGCAGACAAAAATAGCAAGCCTCTTACAGACGGCTCTTTTGCTCTCATCTCTTCTTACAGTCCAGGCAGTTGCCTGTGGTGAAAGCAACACAGATTTTAATTTCTTACATGTGATTCCAAATATGCAAGCCAACCGTTCCTGGTAGAGAGTAATAAACCACACTTTTCCAAAACTCTTTTCTTCTAGGACAAGGCATGTGTCAGTTTTGTGACAAGAAAATAGTGGGGCTCCATAGAATTGGAGATGGGGCATGGGCGCTGCACAGCTCATTCTCCAGGCATGTTCCCCACAGCACTGCAGGGACCCTGGCTGGAGGAAGATCAATCTCGTGCTGGGTCTACAAACTGCTTAAACTCAACTTCTGGTCACTGAAGAGCTGATGGCCCGAGCCACAGGGGGTAAAGGCTCCTGCCTGCCCTTGCAATCCATGGTGGTCTTTCTTTAAACCCCAGTGCTTTGGCAGCCCAAGGAGCTGAATCATAAAATGGATGGGTTGGAAGGGACCTTAAAGATGATCTAGTAAGCTTGGTCAGGTCCAATAGCAACAATTACTGCACTTAGAGGGATGAAGAGGGAGATTTCAGTGGCACAGCAGTCCCAACCTGGAACAAACAGCTGGGTTTTCGTCAGATCCCCCTAGACTGGGGTTCTGCTGCTCCCAAAGGGGGTCAGAGAAGCCAGGGAAAGGGACGATTTGCAGCAGGAGAAAACTGAGCAAAACAATGTCATGCCAAAAACAGGGCCCTCATTTAAAACACTGAGGAATTCAGCCTGTAAGACCTGCCTTTCCTGCCTGCATCTCGCCCTCGCAGGAGCAGCTCAGTTTAGACACAGCAGGCAAAAGGCTCCGACACACAGCCTGTGCCCTGTCTGCCCTTCTACCCTGGCAACCTGGGGTTTCCCACTTGCACAGGCTCTCAGCTGGACGACACACAATAAACTCTTAGCAATACTTTTTTTTTTTTTTAACCAAAAGTAGCATAGAAGTAAAAATGTTTCTTCACACAGGTTAAAATAGGTTATTCGCAGAAAGAGCCCACGGGATGTAGTGGATAAGAAACAGGATGTGTGCAGAAAACCTGCACCAGCCTTCAGCAGAGCACCGGGGCTGTGAGGATGGAGAATTTGCTTCCAAGTGCTCCCAGACTACCACAAAAATCATCACAGGCAATGGAACAAAAGCAGATGTAGCAAACAGGCTAGTGCTGCTCTCAGCAAGGGCGACACGCTGGTTAGTAAGTCTCAGGGGCAGCTGTGGCCACAAACTGTCCTGGGTCCCATCCCGGCCGGGGGCTCCCTGTCCTGCTCCCAGCTTGTCCCATCAGTACTGTCTCTCTCTGGATCTGCTCCGGAGCAAGCCCAGCAAGGAGAAGGCACCAGCAGCAGCTGTTACAAACCCAATAGCACTGATGGCTCGTTTGGCCTGCAAAGGGGAAGCAAAACACAGGCTAGGAACATGAGCTGGTTTGTTGTTTTTTTTTTTTTTTCCATTACCCCCAGGCATGCTAATGAGGAACAGGCAGAAGTAATGAAGGCAATTAAGTGAATGAGAGAATGAGAGACACCTGGCCCATAAGCAGAAGAGGTAACACCCAGGCCTTTACCCTTAGGCTGTAGCATTCAGTAAGAGGGCACTATCAGGGTGCAGAGAGACCATACAGTGGATTTCCTGGTCCAGGAAGTCCATACTTCCTGGTCCAGGGTCTCCAGAGAGGCCAGAGGCAGTGACAGCTTGGACTCTGCACCTGGGGCTTTGCTGTTCCCATGCAGTTTCCATGCTCTGCCCTGGTCCAGGGGCTTGGCTCCTGGTCTGGAGCAGCAAGGAGGTGCACTGTGAGGCATGCAGGGGCTTAGCCCATGTTACTTACCTGGTCTGAGACCCCCTCACCGTAGCGGAGCAGGGTCACGAAGTGCTCACAGTTGCTGCCGAGCACATCATAGGACACCTCCTGGTCGATGAAGTACTCAGCACGCCTGATGATCTCCTCCACCGGCAGGGGAGCATAGGTGCCATCGTACTTGTTGTTGATGTGGTAGGTGTCATTTCCCACCACGTCCTTCAGGAGCTGCATCCTCACCCGGGCCTTTCTGCTGAACACTGACTTGGCGCTGGAGAAGGTGGCTGGGGGCCCTTCATCTGGAGAAGGTAGGGATGGGATGAGCCAGGTCTCCAAGACCTCAGGGGGGTTTCTGTCTGGCTCCTGGAAATGCCATCTACACATAAGCAGGGAACCCCACCAGCCCATGGAGGGAGACAGGGCTCCCAGGCCACCCCAAAGCCCCTTCCACACCCTGCTGGGCTGCATCAGCCTTACCTACGGGTGTCACATTGATGATGTACCCGTCCCCCAGGTAGAGGGCCCAGTGCTGGTAAGCTGGCCGGAAGATCTCGATCAGGTCCCCGGGCTGGGGGTCACCGGGGTGGGTGGCGCTGAAGGTCTCGATAGCTGCCATCTCAAGGGGCTGAGGTCAGGACATGTCCCTCTCGCTGGGCAGGCTCAACGCAAGGCACGGGTGGAGAGGAGAGGTCTTGGATGGGCACCAGCTGGGGATCGCAGGCAGGGAGATCATTAGGGCCTGGTGCCAGCACCCCTATACGGCATGTGGGGCACCATTGAGTGGCACCCAACTGCTGCTGGTGGTCCCCCCCCATCCCTGCAGGGCCCCGGCTGGGGGTGCCTGGTCCCTCCTGCCAGCCCAGCCCTGGCCTGGGGTAAGAAACGAAACGGCCACCCCTCCCGCCGCTGCAGGCCAAGGGTGAAGCCATCACGGGCCGCCATCCAAGCTCCAGTGCCCGTCCCCGCCGCGGGGCCACCTCCCGAGCTCTCCCCGCCGCCCCGGTCCCCCGCAGCCGCTCCCGCCCGCGCTCCCTTCGGGGCTCCGCTTGTTCTGGCCCCAGGACAGCCTCCCCGCAGGGTCGCAGCTCCTCGCGGGGGGAGAAGGAGGGACACCCGAGGTGCCGAGCCCGTCCCCAGGCTCCGGGGCACCCTCCGGAGCCACCCCCGCCGCCGGTACCCGGGAGAGGGCCGCATCCTGCTGGCGGGCACCTGCTCCCATCCCTGGCTGCCCCGCATCCCCCCTACACATCCCCCAAAGCGTCCCGCTCACCCCCAGCGCCCGTCCCGCTGCTGCCGTGGCCGGGATGTCACCCGGGGGCGGGGGACACCAGCGGCGGAAATCGGGCCGGCTCCTGGCTCCTCCCGCCCGCTATAAATGGCGAGGAGCCGGGCGGGTTCCAGGCAGGCGGCGCCTGCTCGGTGCTCGGGGAGATGGATCGCTCCCTGCCGGCTCCGCCTGCCGAGGCCCCGCTCCGCAGGGTGGAAGAGCCGCGGGGACGGGCTCCGGAGCGGGGGCCGAGGAGCCGGGCATCCCTCACCTGGGCACCTTCCCCGGGCGGGAGGCAGCGCGGAGCTGCCGGTCCCCTGCCCTGCTGGCGAAGGGAAGCGCCGGGGAGGTGGAGCTCGGGGTGAATCCCAGCGGCCGTTTGAGGGCAAAGAGGTTTCTAGGGTGGTTTTTCCCCTTGTCTTTCGTGTTGTGGGGCCGGAGGTTCCTTCAGGGCATCAGAGGAGTCTCACGGGGGTGGCATGAGTTGAACTAACCAGTGTATTCAAAGCCCAGCGTTTCAAATCAGGTGAGCAAGCCAGTTGATTTAAAACCTTAGAGAGATTTGTCAGCTTTCTGGCTTCTCTTGACATGAAATAGTTGATTTAGAAGAGCACTGAATTGCAGTTCTGCTGCCTGTGCCACCCCCTGTTCCAAGTCTCAAGTATTCGCAAAGCTTGGCAGTGGCCAGCCAAGGCAAGTTTTGTGATATTGGTGGGGGTGGGAGGTAAGTGTATCCATGGAAATCCAGAAATCAGCTTTACCTGGACACAGCTGAGCCCCGTTGCCTAGGGAGAGCCTGGGCTGGGATCCCACTGGCTGTGGGGGTGTGAGCGTGGTCAGCAGCGCCCGGCACTCGCAGGATGGCGCTGCCAGCGGGCACGAGAGCGCAGCGGGAAGCTGCCGCTGAACAGGCAGGAAAAATGCCTTTATGATTGCGGTGAAATTCCAGCATAAGGCTGACAGTTCGTTTGTGCACGGGGAGGTCTCTTGCGCTGAGTCATTTTCATTATGTAGCGAAGCTGAAAGCCCCCTTGTGTTCCCACCCTCTCCAGAATAGCTGTGCTGTGCTGGGTGGACGGCTGGCCGGGGCTGGAATGGACCAGAATAAAATGCCTTTTATCTACCTGACTGTTCATGGAGGTTGCAAATACTCTTTTGACCAACAGCACACGTGGGTTTATGGACACAAGGGAAAGGAGAAAGGGTAAGTAAATAATATGCAGGATTACGGCAGAAACAGCAGGAAGCCCATGCTATTCCTCACCGTAATCGGAAGTGAGGCTGCAAAGAACTGGAAAAGCATCAGAGAAACCTTGATGGTGCATTCCTTATGTCTCAAAGCTTCCCTTGTGGCACTGGGAATTAGTTCAGGGCTTGTAGAAGGCTCAGGCAGGGCCTCGCTCTCCTGGGCCCTGTGGGTGCTCTGTCGTGGGGGGTGTCTCGCACACTGCGTGTTATTAGGCCTTGCCACAAACAGCTCTGATCTTCTGCTGCAGGGGGGTCCTTAGCATGGTCTGGGACTGAGCTGGTGCAGATCCCTACCCATGTTCATCACCAAGTGGCAGCTTCAGAGTTTGCAGACCCCAAGGAGAGTTTATGACAGGATCCCATTCTTCAGACAGATTTTGTTAAGTTATGCTCTTGTTTAGTGCCCACAGGCCGGGGGCTGATGACAACCCTACTTCTTGTCCACTCGACTCTGACAGCAAGGAGACAGCTCTCCTTCAAACAATCACTTCTTTCAGTCCAGCACTACCAAGGGGGGCAACAGGGGTCATCTCTTTTACTGCAGCTCGCACCAGGTGAACTCAGTGTTGTCTTATATATTTCTCTCCCCAGTTGGACCTGCCTTGCCAGAAGAGGAGCAAGAACTGCTTCCAGCTTAGTCTGCTAATCCCCTCCCTGTGGAAGGATTTGGGTAGGGTGATCTCATGAAAACCTGCCTGGGATGCTGTAATTAATTCTGACCTCATCAGTCTACGGTTTGTGGATTTCACTGAATTTCACTGAATCTACCAGAGGTGCGTATGTGATGGTGTGCAGCGCACTTGTGCTGGCAAATTCTGGCTGGACTTTGTGTTTTTCAACCAGCCTCTGAAGACAGCACAGTCTCTAATGGGATTTAGGACATATTTTAATTTAGGTTTATAATATGAGATTTTAGATGAACAATTTAAAAGGTTTTCAGCAAATGCAATGATTTATTAATTATTTCTTCTCAACATACTGGAAATACTATTAAAATAAAAGAGCAGAAAGTAATACAAACAATTGGAAAATAATGCTAACTATAGGTGTGTTCTTGAGGATTCATTTTGATCAAATGCAGTGTTCACGATGCAGCCATAATCTTGCTCATGTGCTCTGTCATCCCGCGACCATCTCAAAGAAGATTCCCTTGATACCTCAGCTGTACCCATTTTCCTGTTCCTTCTGTACAACGGGGAAAAAGAAAGAACAACCATTTAAAATTTGTGGTGTTATCTGCAGTGAGAGGTCAAACAATGGCGCAAGCATGAATGAAGTCAGATTTTGGAGAAGCCCAAGTTTTGTGGTAGAGACGCGTATGCCCTGTGTACAGGAAATGGCATGAGTTCACTTCTGAGAAAAAACTAAGTTTTCCCTCACATTCTTCAAGCAAGATCCTGAATGCTGTGGTTCCCTTCTGGCCCTGTAGGTGTGTGAGCAACGGGAGTTTTGAGGTTTACAGGTGCTAGAAGGGGTGTATGTGTCTTGACTCTGCTGAACGTAGCAAAACTGGGAAAAGCCTTACCTGTAGATGTACACTGCAGAGGAGACGAGAACGACCATAATAGCTACGCCTGCCACAACTCCAACAATGATGGCAACTGGAGAGTCCTCACGCCCCACTTCTTCAAAAGAAGACGAAAGAGCCCAGTCAGTGAAAGGTAACCATACTGTGAAGACGTTTTTTTTTCTCAACCATTGCCCCTCTGCTTAATTTATACTGTGTTCTCTTATCAATGTGACTTTCTGGAGTGGTATCAGACCCAGGTCCTGTATGCTCTACAGAGCCCTGCTGTCCTGCTTTCTAGAACCTCTCCACTGAGGGATCTGACCTCTTCTTTTGGCTTGGATCTATACAGGCTCTTACCCACTGAGTTACTACTAATTTACAGCATGGAAATGAAGAGCAAGCTCAATCTTCTCCATAATGACACCTATTTTTGAAAGTGGTGTGTAATGCAGACAGTGAAATCCAAAATAGTTTTCTTACCTAGCCTTTCATCTGTGCAGAATGGTCCTGTGTACAATTCTGAACACTGACAGGAGTGGGGAGAGTTGCTGTTGGTAGTTTCAGAGCAAACTCCATCATTCTTACAAGGATTTGGCATACATGGTCCACCTAGCAAAAAAAGAAGAAACACTTCAGGCTTTCTGATAATCCAATCCTGAGAGAATTGTTCTTGCTTAGATTATACTGACTCCTAATGCTGAATATTCCCCGTATTTTAAGGTGTGTTACTTGTACTTGGCAAGAGGAATAAGGGAAACACTGGTTCTACGATTAAATATCAGAGTAAGATCCCTGGTATGCTTTTCTTCTGTACACACTCTGCTGCAATTATCCCCAACCCAGTGATGTCCTAAAGCAGTAAGTCAAGACTTCTTAGCATCAAAGACAATGTGATAGCAGTTGACTCACTCCTGTAGCATCCACGACTGTAGTTTGAAATGCCACAGATTTCATCGGACCCACACACTATGTCAGAGCAGAAGACAGTGGAGCTTTCTGTGCACTGGCATTTCTGAGAGCAGTCATCAGTGGTGAATGTTTCTCCAATCTGGAAGACAGCAGTTAAATGTTAAAAAATATCAACTAAAATCAGCCAGAAAATCTTTGAGCAGAGCCCTGGGGCCCCATGCTATTCTCTCTGATGCTCTCCTGTAAATGGCAACAGGGCAGATTATTTTTTTTTTTTTTGGTAGTTTGTACAAAAAAGAAAGCAAGCAGTTTACTAATCCAGATCCTTGAAACTCAAGGATGGCCCAAGAAAGAAGGTAAAAGAAGTGTATGGGATATGAGATCCTAGCCTCAGGTGGACTACATGTGCAACCAACAAGCCCTTAGCTGTTGCTGGAGATAAGAGAGAGTGGCTGGTGCAACACATGATGCCTTCAAGGCAATGTGGAAAGGCCATGTGTCTTTTTTCTGGCAAGTGCCAGCTGTTTATAGCAAGTGTTTGCCTCCTCCCATAAAACAATCTTTACCAGCTTAGGCCTTTTCTGTAGAAAATCTCCAGTGTTACAACAGAAATCTATGAGATTATGAAGCTCTTGTATCCTGCAATGCCAATGGAGGATTCTCCATGTTCCTCAGAGTCCAGCCTTGCCTGAGGTTCTATTCATGTTATAGCCAGTTCTCACTCTGCCTACACCACTCTTCACTGAGAGGAGAGGGACCACAGTGACTGTCAGAATTTCCCCGTAACTGGTGTGTTATAAGCTTTAGAGCATATGAGGCTATTATTTATCATAATAAAGGTGAAGAATTAACATGGAGGTCAGAGCGTAATCATATACTTTCTCCAAGTGCCTGCCTTGAGTATTCTGGCAGGCAGACTTTCAGAGGCAGACCAAGTGATCTACTCTCTCTTCTCTTTCCTGCACAGACCAGAATTGTATTAAACAATTGTTCTTTGTTTCTAAAGCAAAATTATGTGCCGAGGAGAATGAGGAGATTGTAAAAATAATTAGCAGAAGAAAATATTGTTTGGTGCTGCGGGAGCTGTCTGACCCACAGGGAGACTGTACCTCATAATACTTGTTAAGGTACGTGCAGCCACATTGTTTGTAAGGCACGCAGTCAGAACCGCTAAGAACAAAGCCAGGGAGACATTCACAGCCTTCAACACAAGGTGATTCACATTCCAAGGGGCTGGTGAAGTCGTAGCAGGATGCTGGGCATGCAGACGTGCACGAGCTGTAGTTGCTGTTGGCAGGACATGATATAGCTGTAAAAATAGGGAGAGTCCGGTTATAGCAGGCTGCTGCGCGTTGCTTACACAATGCCCTTTGATAACCAGAGGATGTTACCATTTTATAGGGGGCAATACAACAAACACACACACACACAGATCTGCACGCCTGTATAATAGTATTGAAGCTGCAAGTAAAGCACTCCAAAAGTCAGGAAATGCATCATCAAAGCTATTTGTTTGCTACACTCTAATTCCTGGTGCTTGCTGCAAATAACTTCTCACACATTCAGGGCAGCCACCCCTGCAAGTTCCAGAACTGTTTAACAACTCTGGGAACTGGGTTTCACCAGGAATACGAAGTCATCTAACTATGGGTGATGCAGGGGAGGTATGGTTTAATGAATCTCCCAACTTGAAAAAAAAAAAAAAAAAAAGGGAAGAAGAAAGACAGAAAGAAAACAATAGCTAAATACCAAGAAAATGCTGGATGACGCACGGGGGTTGAATGAAGTACAGATGTTCTGTCACCTATATTGTCTGCTCGAAACGCACAGAAGAAAATTACCATGCTCCGTGGAATGAAATTTGTCACACCAGGAGCAGACGGGAGCACACGTGCTACGGCGTTTTTAGGCCTGTATCCCATGGAGGGAGACAGGATAGCTATTTGTAGTGAACACCTGGAAGCCATGAGCAAAATGAGAGGACTTTTAATTTGATTATGGGACATGGTTATGAGAGGAACTGGTCCCTGCCCAGTGACATAGCAAGGAGAGGCAGGCGCTTCCTTGAAAAAAAAAAAAAAAAAAAAAGGGAAAAAAGCTGTGATTATTGTAGATTTCAGCTAATTTTTTTACTCTAAAAGATTTGGAGCTTTTAGCTGAATCTTTTTTTATATTGAAATTTCACAGACAAGAAAAAAAGAAAGAACTAATATGTTTTGTAGATTTTAAAAGAGATTGAAATGAATTTTTTTCTTCAGATTTGTGGCTTTTGATGGCCTGCAAAATTTTAACTTCTTTGCCCACTTGGGAATGGGGACATTTTTTTTTCTCTCACAAAACTTCTGACAACAGAGGAGCTGACCTCTCTGCTTTCCTAAGTAGCTTTCTAAGTGGGGGTCTAAATGCAGAAGTCAGCATAGGACACAAAAGAAAGGCCAGAAGAGCAAGTGTGCAGGCTAAACTGTGAACAGTGATTGAAGTGTGAATCAACGTGCTTTTACTCCCTGAGAATCTTTGTTCCGTGGTACATCTAGGAAAAGCCTCAAATCTCATATTTTGAGAGTCCTTTAGGCAGAAACCATAATTTCTGTATCTTTCTGTGCTTACCACAAACTGTGTGTTGCCTCCAGCCTTCCATACGGACTCCTTGCTGCTGACAAGCCAGCACATATTCCTCCAGACTGCGACATAAGGTAGTGTCATCATCTCCTTGCACACACACATCAAACAGGCAGCTCCTGCGTGTGACATGAGAAAGCATTCATTCCCAATACCTTTGTTATTGTTTATTTTCAGCTGCTTTTCCACCTGGCTCTGAGTTACTTCTGTTTTCCTGTATCTTGCTGACAGGAAAACAGAGGAATAAAAAAATCCCAAACCTAAGAGCAGCCACATGATTGGGAATATCAGGTGATCTGTTGTGCAGGCACTGCTAACATGTGAGGTATTTATATATGAAAAAGCAATAAAGACGTACCTGACTGTTTGTCACAGTAAGTTATTCTTTGCTATCTGCTCCTGGTTTGGGCTAGCATGGCTGTATCTTGCTTACAGAGCAATTTTTAGTGCTGCTAAGTCTTATAGCTGGACTACACATTTCTTTCAATACTTTGTTCCCGTCCATATGCCTTGAATATTGACACAGAATTCTTTTTGTTTGCCAGTGCTACCTGCTCAGCTTTGCTCATCATCTGAATATCCATGGACTGATTTTTGGAGGCATTGATATCTGAGATGGGATCTGCAAGTATGCAGCACCTCAGAAAAATCAGGCAACCACTAAGAAGGTAAAACAGGCTGCTCAACTAATTCTAGAATGAGGAGAAAAGCATGTTAAGAACTGAAGCCAGTGGTTCAGTTTATTTGGCTTAAGATTCTTCTCACAAGTAAGAGGGACTTTGAAGTGGGCATTAGCTATCTTTAAACATTAGTTACAACTATATGACTTAAGAAAACTGGCAGCTACTTGGCAATTTTACGATTTATGATGGATTAATGGTGAATGTGGGGATGAATCAACAGGTTTCATACAGCTCAAAATTAGGTGTGTAGGAGAGCAGCCATGAAGCACAGCAAGGAGAACTTTGTTGAAGATAATCGGGTTAGTTACTCTTCACTAATGTGTTTTTTGCACTTCTCCATGAAAGATTAAAGAAGTGTCACTGCCAGCTGCAGCCTTTGTGGCTATAGCATGGAGGCTACATTTTATGAAGCTTGAATTGCTAAAAGGTACCTGAGCCAAGTACCAAATTCTCACTGAATGTGGATGAGAATTGTGAGCACCTGGAAATCCCAGCTTACAGGTATAATGCTTAACAATTCTGCTTTACCTGTGTAGGAAAAGAGGAAAGCTACTTTCTAGAGCTAACAGAAAAGTGAAACTCTAAATAGATGGCCAAAGGCACTTACTATCCCCAACTACTATTAATACCCTGGAGACTGAAGACACAAAGTTCTTGACAGAACTAGCACCAAAATGATTTTGCAAATCGGGAGAACAACTGTCTGCAGTAGACACTTACGTGTAATAGAAATCTGGTGAGACCGCAGAATGACAATTTACGAAAGGACCTTTCGAGTCAATCAGGATTTGACATTTAGAAGTGCTGTTTTCTTGTCCCAGCTGATTTTCACTGCAGCCTTGGAAGAGCCCTGGATCTGGTTCCTCCTCAGACTCATTTTTGGAATTGACATCTCGTCTGGAAGTAAAGTTATTATGAAACCATCAGTTCTCTGTACATCCAGCATTCACAGTACTGCTCTCCAAGTAACGCCACAAGAGTACTACTGCCTTGTGATGTAAGTGTAAGCGTAAGCTTATTTTTCCCTCATGATTTATCCTGAACGGGAAGCAGATAGGTGAAGCAAATCAAGAATGTACTAGAACATTTCCTACTGTCTTAGAGTTTTATGAATATTTAAGCCAAAAATGGATAGCTGTAATTATCTCTTTGGAAATTCTGCATGACACAGGCTTCATCCAATGCTTCCTTCATCCAATCTATTCAGTAAAACTTGAATTTTAGCCAGAATGATGCAGTTGGAATAGACCACTGTTTCTTGGTCATACGTTCACTTCCACTGAACAGCTGGCTGCATGCCTGAAGTGCCAGAATTCTCCTGTAGGGACGGCCTCCAGAGCCCCTTCATGCTCAAAACTACCCTACATGCTGCTTTCTACTATTCTGGCAGACAAGTTTTTGCAGCCAAATTATATCCTGACAGCTAATACAATTCCATTTACGTGCTGAAAAAGTTCTGTGTTAGTGGCTAAGCAACCTCGAGAGGTTGAGAGGAAGAAGAAAGACCAGAAATAAGACAGTGTAGTTATTCCTGGATATTAAATATGGCTTAATTCACTCAATCCCAGTGGCTGTGCTTGCCGTAGATATTAGGTAAAAAATTAAGTACCTGAGACGAGAAGTTTTTCTTTGTAGAGGAACTTTCCAGCTCTCACCAAAGCTATTCACATTTTTCACCCAAACACCTTCTGGATTTGTGAAGTCATTTCTGTATCTGTCATCAAAGTTACCACACAAGCCTTCCACTCTGTTTCTGTAGGTGTTGGCCAGCTTTATATCTAGGGAAGTTCAGAAGGAAAAAAAAAGCCTTTACATAGGAATCTTTGCTCCTGAGTGTATGGAAGAGGTGGAAAGCAGTGCCAAGTACTGCATTTCATGATTCAGATTGGAGTTGGTCACACGACATGGGTCTACACATAGGACTGTTGCTGTGCTCTGCCACATGGATCATGAAAAAAGTAATTATTTGCACCTAATAAATTATATAACATGGCATCACCACCTGAGTGCTCTTAGTACACTTAGTGCATACTGCTTACTGCTTTGCAACAAACTGAATGCAGCACCCGCTTTATGCCCTTCACTTACAATCCACTTGTGCATTGAGATACAGAATCCCTATAAAACAGACCTTTTATTTCTGCAGATGGAGTTTTAGGATTTGGAATGGTGGTCATGTGTATAAATGGCCTGGCACTTTTGCCATATACTCAGAAATAACATGGCTATATTCTATTGTAAACCAGAAGAAACTGTTATGAACAGCGGAGGTAATATGTGTTCAATTTACATGAGTGAGTTGTGTATATGGGATAGAAGAGTCCTGATGAGAAATGCTAAATAATGGGATTATTCGGAATAGGCTTGGGAGGAAGCATGTAGAAGGATGCACTCACAAAACATTGTGCTTTAATTTTCTGGAAGAATCATAGGCTCAAAGAGTGAATGTTTCTAATTTTGCCTTAGCTTTACACCTCCTCTGGGATGAGAGCATTTTTAGAGACAGTGCATAAATATTCCTGTACATTGTCTTAGTGTCACTTACCTGCATTTTGACTGCCATCAAAGCTCACGTATAAGCCAAAATCTGTCTCCAGGTAAATTCTTGTTGCCCTCTGATATATACGAATACCTTCATGAGGATGAGCAGGGGGTCTCACCCTCACACCATCCAACTAATAGGGAAAGAATAAGTTAAAATTCATAATATATAGGCCAAATTAAAATCTGACTTCAGTATAGGTAAATATATGATAAATATAACAAATAATTCAACCAGGTAAAAAACTCTCACTTTTTTTAAAATTGACAAAATCATGTATTTAAGAGAGTGATCTGGACACAGTATTTTCATGTCATCCTAAGAGATTTCTACTATTGAACTAAAAATGTGCACATGAATGAAAGAAATTAAATTTTCCTACCTTTATTCACACTTTTCTTTTCCCTACCACTGATAAAAAATTATATGGCTTTATTGTAAGCCTTGGGGTATTTGGGATTTTATTCCTAAATCTCTATATATTCATTTATTTGTTTGAAGTAGAATTATATCCTTCATAGCTATAGAGGAAAAAAGACTCAACAGAACTAAAAATCACATTTGTGGTTGCCCCGTAGCACTACTGTAATAATATAGTTAGCTTTAATACTTAAATTCTTCAGAACAGACATTTAATACTCGAAGGTGTTTTACTCTAAGGGAGAGCTTTTCTCTGTGCTCTGCAGTCAGTGAGAGACTTACCAATAGCTGCTTGTTCTGCCTGAACCGCACTGTGTGATTGTAAACATTGATGAGAATCTCTTTCAGGTAAGTGATGTGTCGACTTCCATGGAGAGGATAGTTGGTGCCTTCAATGCTGAACTGCGTCAGAGTATCAGGTAGGTCAGGGATGGTCTGAGCCAGAATATATGTGTATTTCCCTTGAAAGTGGTGCACCAGACCATCGAAGGTGATGTAGTGTGGATCGCCCATGACCCGGCATTTCCCAAAACCTAAAGAAGCAGAGCTTCGTTACTCTCCAGTCTGAATGTGCACATACCAGATCCCAAGCATGGATCATTTTAACATAAGTTAGATGAAAACGATTGCTGGTAGCATGCAGGTCTCTTAAACTAAAGACAGGTGCTCAGGCATCACCCGAGTTAACAGACACTCAAATGGAGAGACAGCCAGAGAAACTCATTCATCTGCTGAGAACCAGTGTGAGCCAACTGAACTGAAGCAGAACATTAGGGTTTATAGACTTTATACAACTAAGCTGTGGACATTGGTCCTCTGCAGAGGAATGACTGGGCCACACAGCATGGTTTGCAGTATGCTCTTCGAGATGTTGGTCTCATAATCCTCAGCAACATGACGCTACAAAATTATTGGGACATGAAATGCAACGTCTTAATTATGGCTGGCTCACTGCTGTCACACTGATTTCTCCTGAGATTACTAAATTGATCACTGCATTCATCAGACCTAACAATCAGATGTAGCGACTATGTCTAAGTATTCTCCTTGATCATTGAGCAGAGGACAAACCATTATCCCAGGACCAAGGCTCTCCTAAAGACTGCTGGGGTGCCTCTGCTGTGGTATTTTGCCAACATGGAGCAGGAGGAGGATGGATTTGCATTATGCTCTTGTACTGATCATCAATACAGTACAACCTATGCCATACCATTCTTCAAAATTGAAGTGTAGAGTTACTAGGCAACAAGCTATGGCCTAAAACATGTAATTTACCCAGAGAATATGGGAACCAAGGTTCTCTGACTAGCCTATTACATGTCTTTTCAGATTTGCCTTTATTTTTTCTGTTCTTGAATTAATGTACAATGGAAAAAAAAGAATCATTGCCAATGAACTCACAAACATTGGTGAGTTTTAGCTTTATTATATGCAATGCAAATCTTATTTTTCTTTTCTTTTTATTTACTGACTGAAATGTGAAATTTCTAGATTTAATTAATTTCAAATTCTTGTTCCTCTTCCCTTTACAAATTCTTTGTCTTGTACTGGAACTTTCAATTCTGAGAACTGAGCCCTTTTTATGTTTGATAAAGCGTCATCAATAGCACTGTCAGAGCTTCCTTCTTTCCTGTGGAAAAGACTGGAAGTGCCATGGAAGAAAGAATAGACACCAATATCCTTCCTCCTTCTCCAGCCCTCATGGTACACCAAGTGAAGACCTGCCTGCACATACCTGTTGGATTGCACTTGTGTTTTCCATTTTTGATCACGCAGGTTTCTTTAGAATCACAGCTATAGTTCTTACATTTGATGACACCGTTCTTCTGACACTGGCATCTTTTGGTGCAGTGTGGAGTTATCCAGGTCTCCCCAGCCTGGATGGAAGTTGTGTTAATAATATGTTACCAAAGTGCTCAGCTTTGCAGTGCAATACAAGTTCAATAGCAAAGGGTGTGCGGGGGTGCCCAGGTGCAACATGTCTAGTTGGCAAATCCTGAGGTAGTTTCACCAAGAACCTGGGAGGGGGATCTCAGTCCATTTATCTTACTGTCTTCAACATGAGAATTCAAAGACAAAGCAGGACTAAGACAGACTGCTTGAACTCTGATCAATTGACTAGTTTAGAATATGCCTCAATTTTGGCCTCAGATGCAGAGTACCAAGATCCTGCACCTCCTCATACCTGAGCCTGCAGTTTTTACTGATCAGATGAAAGGTATTTGAGAGGTAGACCCTGACGATATCTCTCTCTCTCTCATTCAGATGGACAGGGGACCAATTTTCTACAAGTTTTGCAGTCAGAGATTTGCTCCACAAACTACTTACACTGTAGTAATTGTTGTCATCATCTCTGCAGCCACAGTTGCTCAGAGGTACACACTTGCCATTACTGAGCACATAATTATCATCACACTCACAGCCCTCTGTGCACTTCTCTGTCTTCTCACAAAGGGAAGAGGCAAAAATGTCATTGCATGTTGATGGGCAGCTGGAGACACAGTTCGTGTAAGAGCTGTGAGATGGACAGGGCAATGCTGTGTGGGTGAAGAGAATAGAACCAGCGTTATTAAATTCATTTAGAAAGTGCACTGCGAACACATGTGCCTGCCTGAAAGCTACAACATGGCCTGGAAAATGGTAGTATAGAATTGCCTTTTAACAGCTGCTTTTGATCATCAACCAGGTTTGATTTTTTTTTATGTTTTATTTTAACACCCAACAAAACCAAAACAGAAACCCTCTCTGGAGCTGCTGATTCAGTTCTATTACAAGTATGCCAAATCATTCAGACTCAGTATTCCAGTTCAACTGCAAATGGGCACTGTTACAAATGAGAATCTTTAGGGCAAATTCCTTAGAATGTTCAACCTTCCAGTGATGCCAAAGAGGTGTATATCTAGCTTAACCACAGACAAGAACAACCACATGCAAGAACAACAGATATGCATTGTCAGAGTGAAGAGATTCATCTAGCTCCATATCCTATTTCTGCCAATGTCTAGAGATGCAAAAGGGGACAGTTCAAGAAACAGGGTAGCAGGACAAAGGGTTCATTTGTCCAGTATTTTCTTCCACTTGTGGCAAGGAGGCAACTAGGAATTTCTGATGGTCCTATTCAAGATTCATCTAGCTTGTTTTTTAGCCAGCTAATTGTATTATCCTCTACAATGTTCTGTGATAATTAATTCCACAATGTATAACTAAATTGTGAAAAAAAAAACAGCAAAAAGAAACCTACTATGTAATCTTTACTTGATTCTACATAATTTGTTTGTAGCTTTGTTGAATGGGTGCAGCGAGGCTCATATACTGGATATTAATCCGAGAACACAGCCTTTAAGAAACTGGCCAAATTGTCGGTTTTCATTCAAAACACAGTGAGCGGCATTGAGCTCTGTGTCCTAACACAGTATCACTCTTTGTTTTAGCCTTCTGATTATATTATTTCTCCATTTTAGGCTCCCTGCAATGTCTCATGGTGCTCATTGGGCTACTGAAGGCACTCCACATGACAATCCATAATTCGTCTAGTCCAGAGCTATCACTGGGTTTAGCTCAGCCTGAACACAGTTCAGTGCAACAATGGAATCATAAAATCATAATAATAGAATTGTATTTTGTGAGAATTCGGGGTTAATTTTCTTTTACACAACTTGTTCACCTAATATTGCTAATTTGCCTTCCAAGTTTCAGTGTTTTCACTTGCTTGTGCACTTACGACAGAATGTGCTATTCCTCCATATAATGGTGATTCCATGACTCCTGCAGGTGTCCACGTAGAATTGAACTATGTCACAGAGGGCAGACTTCATGCCATCATACTGGCACATGTCATAGATGCAGATCTGTATGAAGTCTTCAGGGTTGACTAGATTATGACACGCTTTGAACTTGTCTGATTTTAGGACATTGCACTGGCTTTCAATGACTGGTTTACTCTCAGCAGTGCAAGGAGGACCATCATCTTCTCTTAAGTCTAGTAAACAGCTGCATGAAAGCACAGACACAGTTGCATTTAAGTTTCAAAGGCATATAAAAGAGACTGAAACTGAACATTTGTTTCTACTGAAAGGTATTAAACAAGTAACACTAGAGACTACAGTCTTCTTTTGGTCTATGCATGAAAGATTAGGCAGAATTTGACCTGCCCAGCAACCACCATGCTGCATCTGACGCTTGTTACTCTCACTGATCTTGCCCCTGACTAGAGGATTGACTTCTCAGCTTTAGCTCGGACCTGTCTTGTCACTGAAAACTTGTGTGATGATCTGGACCCTCAGTGGACCCTGGCTTCCACACTTGGGCCTGCCCTGCTTGGGTAGTGTGGGATGGGTCCTGGCTGGTGAGAACACTGTTCTCTCGGCTGTGTTATCACACTTGGCTCCCTGTCCCTTGGGGAGCAGCTGGACCTCACTGTTCCTCAACACTGCACCCCAGCACCAGGTGTTTCCAGTGTAAAATAAACACTGTGGACTGCTCCAAAACCTAATTCCCCAAGTCTGTATGTAGATCAACAGAATGGCTGGGGCTTCCCTCTGGCCCATCCAGTGGTTTCCTGTGGTGTTGGCATTTTTTTGAGCTTCAAATTGAGGAAGAAAAGCGTCTCATATACACTGCTTATATTTAACAATGGAGCAAACAGTCAAAGCAATTGAATGGAGACTGTTTATCGAAGGAAAATGGAAGGTAAGAAAAGAAGTTATATTTACCCTGCATCACTGTCTTCCTCCACTTTCCAGCTATTTCCAAACTGTGTGACATTGACGAGTGTACCATTGGGCAAGACCAGATCATCTGTACGATCATCATTGAAGTTACCACACATTCCCTGTACCTGCAAATGAACAGGAACCATACATATTCTAAGCACAATCTGTTCTACATCAGCTTTCCCAATAACTTCTTATTCATTGCCTATGAAACAATGTGACCAAATCACCAACAACAACCAATCTTGTACCAGAAATTTCAGGCATACTCACTAGTGTCTGACTGCACCCATGGAGAAATAAAATAGGAACTGCAGTAAATTGGTGGTTCCCTAAGGCTTCAAGGCATTTAATGCTATAAGTTGGATGCAATCCCCTAGCCAGGTCACTTTCTTTACTTACTCTTTTGGAACACAAGGAAATTTTCGTGAAGAGAAAAAAATAAAAAGGAAAAAATTACACGTTACAATACAGCTACAAAGATGCAATAGCAAAACACTGGATTAAAAGAAATTAAAAATAAATGCACAAAGCAGAGGTTTTGAAACAGTGCCAGATGTTTACGTACTAAATCTTACCTTTGAGAAATAAGAGTGTGGGAGGGTGATTTCCAGATGGTGATTGCCATCGTATTTCACTATCACACCAAAATCAGTTTCCAGTACTATAAATTTGCCAACGTTTCCAATGGACACGCCTCGCAAACGGTTCTCCATTGGAGTGTAGACTCTCTCATTGTTCAGCTGGAGAGACATGTCATTTGTCAGTATGGACATTCTTTCATGAAAGCTTTTCTGCTCACAATCTATATTCCTTGCACTGCTGACAATTTCTTTATGACAGTTTCATCTCCGTTACACTTCCACCATTGCATATTCCAACTATGAGTTGCAGGAATCAGCCTTTTAGCTGAGGAGAGCTGGGCAGGACTCATGGCCTGTGCCTTTAACAGGGAGCTGGAAAGATCCCTGAGAGTGAGGAAGCTCTTACCCACTCACCCACAGCATCCTCTGCCTCCAGTACTGCTACATGCTATTCTAGACCAATACAGTATAACTTGCTTTTCCTCTGCTCTTTTTAGCCAGCTATAGGTGGTTGAGTTAACAACAGCTATTGAAGTGGGGAGCCCCATTCTTTACTTCAGGCAACAATTCTTCGACCTGAAGGCTCTGAGCTCCATCTCCAAGATATAGCCAATAGAGCAGTAAATCCAAACCAAAAGCCTTGGCAACTAGTGAGAAATTATATTTCCCAATAATATCCAGTTAATTGAGGTGCCCACAAACATACACATACATATTCCTGAGGAAACATGAAGACCCTTTCTCCTACAACTGCCGTAGTGAACTCATTTTAAGATACTTCTTGCCAAAATAAAGAGCACCATCACCTACCAGGATTCCTTGGTTTTTCTGAAGGGTGATTCGTACATCATACACATCTACATAGACTTCTTTCAGGTATGTGGCCCCTCTTAGTCCTCTGTCTTCATTCTTGCCAAGGATGGTTATAGGAATGATACTGTTTTTGTTGACTACCTCAACTAAGGTGTAGGTGCAGGTACCCACAAAAGTGTACATCAGTCCATCAAAAGTGAAATAATGGGGATCTCCTGCGACTTGACATGTTGCTTGACCTGAAAGTAAAAAAAATAATCTAAGAATTTTGAACTGGATTTCACCATGGACTCAGCTGACAAAAGATGTTTGAATTAGTGCAGCAACCTAATTCCTGTCATTACTAAGTGGGCAAACCTTCACAGTGTTCTCTCAAATTCTTGCCAGTGCCACATTTATTTGGAAACAAGAAATTTCCAGAAAGTGTCTCCTAAATTAAATTTGCATATTATGTACAAACTGGCAACTTAGCAGCAAAAGAACCTCTTTATGCATTTCTATATGGTGTTGTAGGCATTATTTATGGTAGTTGAGAGTAATACAGAGCTTTTCTATATAACTATATAAAAAAAATCATAACTGTATGTATAAATATAGATCAAAATAGAAAAGTAAATAAGTTTGCATCTATATACATAGGTACTTAGTGCACTTGCCATCACCCAGACTCTCAGAAATGCAGTTCTCAATTATTACCAAATTTAGATCTTGCAGCACTGGTGATTTGGGACTTGAATTTGTATTATCAAGACAAAATGAATGCAAGTGACCTTGCAAGCTTCTGGGTAGCATCAGTTTTTGCTGATATCTGCTACAACAGAAAGGGGTCTGTGCTTGCAAGACACATCATTGTGTCTTTTCATCTCTTAGCACTGGCAGCAATCACTTGGGACTTCATTGCCATCACGTATGAAAAGATATTTAAATAAAGCTAGGAGGAGAAGAAGGATCTAATTACGGAATTGACATTGAGAACCATTTTCAGGCAGAATTTACCATTGGAATGACAGCCCAGCACACCATCCTGAATACTGCATTCTTCTCGGACTCCACACTCCCAGGGTGTGCATGTGATGTTGTTTTTAGCCTTGCAGGTGCAGCGTTCAGTGCAGGAATTATTGGTGAACCAGCTTTCATCCAGCTGAGTGGAAAAAAGAGTGTAGAAGTATATACTATAATACAAATTGGACGGTAATACCAAAAGGGACAATCAAATTACTAGTATTTAAATGACCATTATACTTAATCATTTGGGCAACTGTAGCCACATAGCTCACAGATTGAAAAGGTTGGCAAAGTGAGTCTATTTTGTGATTATTAATGACATAAATAATAACTGTGTTAGTGTTATTAACATCTTTTTCTCTCATGGTAATAAAGAATGAGAAGCCTTGTTCTTTTTTTTTTTTTTCTTTCTTTAAATATCTGAGGTAACTTGCCTGGTGATACTGATTTTTTTCATCAACACAACCACAGCTGCTTTCTGGCACACATTTGTCTCCGCTCAAAACGTAGCCTTCCTTACAGAAGCAACCTTCCACTGGTAAGGAACTGCAGGAATCAGCTGCTGAGATGTTCAAGCAGGTAGAGGGACACCTAGTACCACAGCTCTTGTAGATGCTGCCTCCAGGACAGGACATTGCTGGAGAGAAAAAGGAAAAATAAGATCACTCAAAAGAGCAAAATCATGATAAAAGTTTTCCTGATGCTTTCACTGTTTGCTCTGGAAAATATACAAAAATTGCTGTTAGAAATTCTGACACTGGGGAGTGCTGTGTACAAAGTATTTTCTTGCAGTGTGAGATAGGTGTTTTTCGGTAGAGGTGGGTAAGAGAGGTGGGCCACCCTGCACATCACCTAATGAAGGAAGTCAAACATTGTAGGCTTGCTTTGAGGTAGGTCTGATGTGATTATACAGGACTAATTTTGCTTGGTTCAGTAAACCTTTTTCTGCAGGTTTAAAGACATATAGTTACTCCATTCTCTTCCCATACCAGCTGATAGGGCCCCATTACTGTACTTCTTATTTGAGCACCTGCCATGTATTTCAATATAGAACTAAAAATCAAAATCCATCTTTCACTGAGACCCCTTGAGGAAAATATATTATACTGTCATGTCCCTCCTGCTCATGGTAGACTTGGGCTTCTATCTCTCAAAGCAAGGAAAGACATTACATTTTACAGAAATCCTGAGGCATTTGTCCATTTCTGTCATCTAAAAACCCTACATATGACTCTTATTTACTTCTGTCCCTGCAGCAGGTTCTCTTAGTCCTGTCAGGCAATTACAGCCAACGACTCCAGTCACCTATCCAGAGTACCTGCTCTTTGTCAGGTTCTTAATCGAGTTTTTATTGGGTTTGATGGAGGGAGCACTTGAGAGTCAATCCTCTTAATGTGACTGAGTCTTCTCTATCACTTTAATCAAGCCATAGATATTTAGATCCTGGGCTATGGCCTCAGACTATGGAGTGTGGGTGTCTATAGCTTTAATCTGATGTGGAGGGTAGAAGCTCATTTCTTGCTCTTTCTATATATGAATTCTGCATGCTCTGTCCTAGGGCTAATTTAGTGGGTGCTTTAAAGCCATTCTAAAGTTACAGTAATTATTTTTCCAAACTTAGCAGCTCCTGGAATCTCTCAATAGTTTTTACAGTTTAATTTCAATGCACAGCTTATTGTTGATCATAGAAAAAATGAAACAGAAAAAAAAGGTGCAAATCTGGAGAAGGTAATACAATGGTAATTGGTATAATCAAAATTACAGTAAAATTACAGTAAAAAATGCAGTAAAAAAACCATAGAGAAGAGTTATGGTTGACCTTTAGAGGACTTCTTTCCTCCAGATATGTACTTTGTGGATAAAAAGTCCTTTAGATGATGTCTGGCAAGCACAAAACTGCCCAGTGCTGCATAAAATCAGCACCAGTGGAACCCCTGGAAATCTTTATTCTAAGAAATATGAGTTCATTATATTAAATTTGCCATAACGTCATGCTGAAGAGAATTCATTGTGAGATGGGTGACTATGCTTGATTTCTTTGCTTTATAGAGAAGTACTCGTAAACTTCCTAAAAACAACTGTTTCTCAAGGTCTCTTAATAAACCATAAGCCATCGATAGGCATTTGTGTATGGAGGACTACCAGCTCCGCTTAAATTGAGGATGGTGGATTTTCAGTGGAGCAAAGAAACAGTTATTTCCCCAGTGAGAAAGCTCACATAAGATACAGTTGAATGCAGTCAAACTTTTCCAATAAACTAATAGTAGTAAATAATTAAAACTTTAAAGATTAGACCTACACGTATCTAAATGTTTATGAAAATTAGTGTTTTATACAAATAATGGAATGGTGCTGAAACTGAAGTAGGCTCAAGACTCGACAAAAGATAGACTATACTCAAAACATTACATAAAATGAAGTAACATACATAAAAAAAGATAGAGGAGAACGTGCATACTTCCAGAATAGATATTTATAAGCCACAACACTCACGGCAAAGAGTAGCATTCCTCCACTCTATGCATATCCCAGCATTGATACACGACTCAGCATAGGCCTGGAGTCCATAGCATAAGGATGTTGCCTGTCCGTCAGTGAAACACATGTCATAAACACAGTTTTCAAAGAACTTCTCCGGAGGCACCTTGGTATGACAATCCTTGAAGATTCCTGTAAATCAAGAAAGGTATATAGAAGGACAGAAAAAAAAATAATAAAGGGAATGAAAAGATCTCCACCACCATCTCTTTTCTGTCGTGGCAAATGTCTTGTGAGTACTCCAGGCTAACTTTGTTTAGTAAGTTAAACCAACGCTTGAAATGGGGCTTTTACAATGAGACTTGGCCCTCCTAATCAGACTTTCTTCTTTTTGCATGATTGTTACTGCATAGCTTCCAGAAATTAAGAGTTGCTGGCTAGGCAAGCCACTAATTCTGGACAACTGCATGAGCTCCCCAATGCAGGGAATATCTACAGAATTTCAGATAAAGTATCTGTAATACATTCAGTAATAGTGCCCTCTGAAACATTTCAGATAAAGTATCTGTAATACATTCAGTAATAGTGCCCTCTGAATTTTTTCTTTTAGTAAACAGAGTGCAAGTCACTATAAGGTAAAGAGCACCTATGGCTCCCTGTGCACATTGTCAGATAGACTTCATGGACACATTGGCACTGTCTGGTTGACAAATCTTGACCAAGCACCTATGAGTTTTATGTTGGTCTTTCACACTGGAGGTTTTATATGCTTCCAATGTGAGCTCAGAACAACAGACTATAGAGAGGGCTCAACACAAGCTTTAAAGCACTTCATCACATGGTTCATACTACCTGTTGGGTCTGTGATCATGCCGCATGCTGTGTTCTTCTTTGCCTCACTCTCCTGCACAGGATCACATTGCTCTTCTGTCCCACTCGAGCAACTGGGAAAAGCAAGCAAAATCAAGTGTATGTTTCACATCTCCTACTACCTGATTTTCAGTGGAAGATTGACACACCCTGCACAACAGGGTGTATTTTATTAGGCACAAAGCTTTATCCAGTCTCTTTGAAAAGCTGATGCCAGCCTTATCACTGAAGGGACTCCCTTTTTGATGCCTTCTGGGTTATTCAAAGGCCTATTCTTAGCTGATAAAAGACCCATGGGATCCAATCAGTTATGTTTTCCAATCAGGGAACTGGACTGAGATTCCATCCACCCTCACACTCAGCAGATAGTTCCTGCTTTGGAAAACAAGACTTAAAGCACACAGGCCCTCTTCTCATTCCCTGTTTAATATAAAGGGGCCACTCCCTACTTTTAATGGGCAGTTGGAAGGTGTAAAATGGGACTGGATGACAAAACCAGTGAGTAGTTTGTAGAGTTTGATTCGCAAATACCATGTGATTAAGTTAATATACGTACCTGGTGTTATTCTCAGGTACAAGCCAGCTTTGTCCAAGATCGTTGGAATCACTTGCAACGTCACCATTGGGCTTCATGTTGTCATCATTTGGATCACCATTATAATTACCTGTGAGGGTAAAAAGCGATTTATGGGACACATGAAGTCTACATCTGTAGAAAAAACCTAGGTGTCAGCTGTAAAACAAATTACTATCAACTAGGGAGAGTATACATGCAACAGCAATGTGTACTGGGCATAGTAAGAAGGGCTCAATTGTGTTTTAGACGTTGACCACTGACAAGAGCTGCTGTTCAGAGAGACCTGTGGACTTGAAGTGAGAAGACTGTAAATTCTTATGATCACATCGCATAGAAGAAAGAATCACTTAGAAAAATCCAGCTTATTTCCTCGGATCCTACCTGTAGAATGTTGGACTAAAAATCAAAAGGTGTTTTCATACCATTATATTCTTAGGTAGATTTCCTGAATGGAAAATGTGAAAAACCCATGAAGAGATAACTGAACTAGGAAATTTCAGATCATCCAAATCAAAGAATAATCAGAAACTCACAAGATAAGCTACTCTTACAATTTCTATGATCCCATTTTTATCCTGAAGTACATTTCATATAATCACTTGGGTTTCAGAATGTTGTTCCAACTAAGCTTCCTCAAGTTCAGGCATTAGCAACATTGTTGATGAAAAGTTACTGGTCACTACTAATTCCAGCAAGCTCCTACTCTCATTAGCTACATAAGCCACCTGTGACTCTTACTTTGCTATCCTATTACAATAGAATTCCTTGCAGAACATGGTAGAATGTGACCTTTATGTCTAATCTTTCTCACAGGACTCTAAAAGGCCTTCATATTTTGCATCATATATAGCATTTAATATTCTGTAGTATTTGAATTTTGGAACTAAAGCATAAATTTTCTTTCTCACTAATGTCTGTCAGGTCAGGATTATCCATTTTGGATCCTTGTCATTGCTTTGGTTTAATGTTTTTATCTTAGCTAGAATAAAAAGTAGGTTAAAATAACCCTTTTCTTTCTTTATCTTTTATTTAATCTTTTCTTTTCCTTTGAACATATAAACATGATCATTCAGGTTGTATAAGTACCTCCTAAAATAGCACAGGAAAACAGCAGCAGGAAAGTTTGAGGATGTTGGCAGTAAGCTATTCTGAAGATTGCTCTCTGCAGTTGAAATAGCCTCAAGTTTTAATGATTCACAAAATGAAATGGTACAGCATTCTTCACACCCAACATAAGAAAAATACATCAGAATAGAAATAACAGAAAAATGTATTTGTAGAATTATTGACCAGATTCATGCAAATAATTACTCTTCCTAAATTTGAACTGTAGAACTGATGTGAGGGTTTTTTTATTTGGCTAAAAATGGTATTTGTAGTTATACCTCACAACATTAAATTGGATAGCATGTTACCAGGAATTTTGTTAGTAACAGTTCTGAGAAACTGAAAAAAATCTGGCACGTTTTCTTCACTGCTGTAAATTCTACATTTGTCCATTTGACAAGCACTAGTTGCATGGAGAATAAGTATGACATGCAAAGAAAAAAAGCTTACATAATCACCAGCCTCCGTAACACACTAAAAAGTGACTAACACACTAAAAAGTGACTAACACACTAAAAAGTGTGTAAGTATGACTTACCACAGAGGCCACAGAGCAGACCACTGTAAATAGAAGGCACAGAGACTTCTGCATAGTGATTTCCGTCATATCTCACCCACAGCCCAAAGTCAGTTTCCAAGAGAACATATCCACCACTGCTTTGAATACTGATCTTCTTTTCAATAAGTACAGGCAGGTTCATTCTGCTGCCATTCACCTGTACAACAAGTTGTAAAAGTTAGTGTATGGCTGCAGGGACTCTTACAACTGCAAGCAGCTGAAATACATTAGTGAAAGATGTGATCTTGTGCACAAGGTAACTGGAAGTAATTAAAGAACACTTAATCTGAGCAAATTTGTTGGACATTTCATTAAGAGAGGTACATTTAACTAATAAAAAGAGAAAGTTTGCTATGAACTGTACCATCAGAGAAAATATTTCATTATCTGAATGTCAGTTTAAAAATATTACATATGTCTTTTAAACAAGTATTTTCTTACATTCACTTTCTTGTTTTTCAGCAAAGAAATCTGGTGGCCATAGACTTCCACATTCACTGACTTCACATAAGAGACTTTGGTGTTGGCTCCTCTGTGCTCATTTGTTGTGGAGACATCAAAGTATGGGAGCATCTCCGAGACATTGCACACTTTGGAGAGGGTGTAAGTGCAATTTCCCATGAAATGATGAACTCTGTGGTCAAAAGTGTTATAATGTGGATCGCCAGAGGCACTGCAGGAAGCACGGCCTGGGAAGAAAGAAAGACAGAAAAAATCTCTCTGAATCTCTACCAGACTTCTACTGTTGCTTTGTTCCCACTTTGTTTTACTTAGTAATTGCTGCTCAGTTCTAACAGTGATGGCATCAGTCGAGAACATTCCAGAACACAGCTGAGCCTCCTGCCTTTATGGGTCTAACCATAAAGAATCTGTACTCTTATGTATCAGAAATCTATGGTAGAGGGTGAGTAAGAAGTGGACTTAGTGCTTAAAACTGAAGGAAAGGAGCAGCTAAAACTTCTCTTATATCTAAAATAAAAACAGAATTTGGAAGCTAAATTTATTTTAAAAGACTATAGCAAAAGACTATAAGACCTGTATAACAGAGGAAAACTTGCCATAGATAATGAAAAAAATATTTATGGACATGGCAATAAAGAGTATGTGAGATAACCATCAGGCAGCTAGCTGGTGGACTGTTCTCAAAAACCCAAACAATATGGCAAAACAGACCATGGGGAGGACATCGATAACGACTACTCAGAAAGAGTCTGACTGCTGAAGAACAATCCCACCAGTGTGACTGGGTGAGCAAGAAAAAGCTCGGACTCTGAACTATAAGAACTCGGTCACTTGGCTGTCACACCAGTATTAAGAAAACTGAGCAGTTATGACAGACAGTAAGAGATGAGGATGGGATGTGGCAGTACCTGAGCTTGGTGTGGGTGTTGCTGGTGGGTGTGGAGGCTGCGGTGTAGAGCCTGATGAGGAGGTTGTGGGTTGTGATGTCGATGGACCTGGCACAGGAGAGAGTTAGAGAAGATATGCATCAGCATGAGAGTATTATTGCAAGCAGCTGGTCCACCCTTCCCAAAAAAACAGCACTGTGAACACAGAAGCCCCAGGCAGGGATTGCACAATGATTCCTCAGCACAAATTTCTGCACTCGAGTGAGCTCCCAACAGCATTGCTGGATAAGAAAAGGACATGCGTAACTCCTTCACCAGAGACACTCTAGCCCGTAGCTGTAGACCTTCATAGAAATTGAACTAAACAGCTGCCACAAGAAGCAGAAAGTGGGCAGGGAGCATGAGAGTACCTGAGCTCGGTGTGGGCGCTGGTGGGGATGGCGTGCGTGGAGGCTGCGGTGTAGAGCCTGGTGAGGGGGTCGTGGGTTGTGATGTCGATGGACCTGGCACAGGAGAGAGTTAGAGAAGAATTACATCAACATGGGAGTGTAGTTGCAGGCAGCTGGTCCACCCTTCCCAAAAACCCAGCACTGTGAACAGAGATCGCAGGGATCGCACAGTGATTCCTCGGCAGAGATTTCTGCACTCGAGTGAACTTGAAACAGCATTGCTGGACAATAAAAGGACATGTGCACCTCCTTCACTACAGCCACTCCATCCCACGGGTGTTGGCCATGGAGGAAGTGAACTGAACAACAGCCACAAGAAGCAGAAGGTGGGCAAGGAGCATGAGAGTACCTGAGCTCGGTGTGGGTGCTGGTGGGGATGGTGTGCGCGGGGGCTGCGGTGTAGAGCCTGGTGAGGGGGTCGTGGGTTGTGATGTCGATGGACCTGGCACAGGAGAGAGTTAGAGAAGAATTACATCAACATGGGAGTGTAGTTGCAGGCAGCTGGTCCACCCTTCCCAAAAACCCAACACTGTGAACAGAGAGGCCCCGGGCAGGGATCGCACAATTATTCCTCAGCACAGATTTCTGCACTCGAGTGAACTCCAAGTTGTATAGCTGGATATAAAAGGACATGCGTAGCTCCTTCACTACAGCCACTCCATCCCATGGCTGTTGGCCATGGAGGAAGTGAACAGAACAGCTGCCACAAGAAGCAGAAGGTGGGCAGGGAGCATGAGAGTACCTGAGCTCGGTGTGGGTGCCGGTGGGGATGTCGTGCGTGGAGGCTGTGGTGTAGAGCCTGGTGAGGGGGTCGTGGGTTTTGATGGACCTGGCACAGGAGAGAGTTAGAGAAGAATTACATCAACATGGGAGTGTAGTTGCAGGCAGGTGGTCCACCCTTCCCAAACACCCCAACACCGTAACCAGAGAGGCCCCGGGCAGGAATCGCAGAATGTCATCCCAGAAAGAGCCCTGCCACTCAAGGGCTCTCCCATCAGCACAGCTGTGTGACAAAAGCAGATGAGGCGCTTCAGTACCTCTGCTCAGTGCCTTGTAATACATGAACTAAAGAGTGCCCGCAGGCAGTGCCAGTGCTCCAGTCTCCCAGAGCTAAGCCTGCTTGGGCACAGGCTGCACCACTGGCCTATAGGGCACTGCAAAGACAACCGCTGCTCCTGCCTGTAGCACAGCGGGCCGCCTCCCTGGGTGATATCTCTCAAGCCGCCCTTCCCCACGCCGAGCCTTGTACCTGCACCACAGGGTCCCTTCTCAATGGACAGATCATCCAATGCTACGTTGCTCCGGACATCTCCACCCCATTCTCCCTCCAGGACAATCTAAGGGAAAGCACGGGTCCCAGCGTTAGCTCCAGCCGCCTGTGTGAAGTGCCATTAGAGAGCACCGTTCGTCTCAGATGGCAGTGAGAGCCTGTGCCTTACCTTCAGGTTTCCTGTGCTGGCCACTGTGATCTCTCCCAAGTTCCACATGTCCCCGTGGTTCCCAACGCTGGTCCAGATCGGCACCAGCTCTTCGTCCTCAACCACGTACACCCGCAGGGCCATTGACTCAACTCCGTACATGTGATACCAGAAGCGGAAGCAGTGCGGTCCTTCCGAAGTGCACACCGGACTGACGAGATGAGCCACAAAGCCGGGGAAGGCATTGCTCCCATACAGGTAGATGTAGTAGCCGTCTGAAACAAAGTGTGAGCCACACTGTCACATGCACATCAAATCTAGAGAAAGCAGCCAGGGACAACACGGGCACTCAAGTCCTGGGAGCACCCCCTACTGCCCTTCAAGGCAGAGAAGAAGGAGGGGAGACCAAGCACAGGTCCTTTGCTAGCCACAACCCTCCCCGGCCCCGAGTCCACCCACTGCCACAAAGGGCTCTGGATCACGGCCAGGAAACACATGGCCCGTATTTGCTGTTGGAGGAGGGGGCTTGTTGCCATCTTCCCACGGACACCCCTCTGCCTGGAGGAACGCTGTGTACGGGTTGCTGTTCCTACCTCCTGTTGTGTGGTCAGAGGAGGGGCCGGTGCCTGGCGTGGGCGTTGGACCCTTGTTCCTTATCCAGTCAATGCTGCTGTAATCTGCCTGGACCCAGCCACACAAGTCATCCTCGAACGTGCAGGCAAACTTGCAGACTTCTGGGGGAGCTGGGTATGGTGCAGAAAGGAAAGCAGAGTTTCTCAAGTGAGGGAGGGACCAACTTTTCCCCCTGTCCCACAGGGCACACCTACGTTCCTGGCATGCTCATGGCCAAGTGAGGATGGCCAACCCAGGGGAAGCACGGGAGCTGAGTACCTAGCAGAGCCAGTAAAAAACACGGATGGGAGACAACAGTACCTGTGCTTGTCCCAGGGGCTGGTGATGTTGTCTGTGGAGGCCGCGTTGAGGTGTCTGGCAAGGGGGCCGTAGTTGTAGGAGCTGCAGGATGTACAGTGAAACCGGGGTTGGAGAAGTTGTGTTTCATAATGGGCATTTGTTCCTAAATGGGGAGTTTGCAACCTTCCCAAATAACCCCACACCGCGGCAAAAGGGCACGGCACACTTACCACAGACAGTGCCAGCGCTCCAGTCTCCCAGAGCAACGCCTGCCTCAGCACAGGCTGTGGCATAGGCCCCCAGGTCATTGCAGAGCTGCTCCGTGCTGCCGTTCGTAGCACACTGGTCATAGACACAGCTCTCAAAGTATGTCTGTGGCGGCAGAACTGCATGGCATGGCTGGAACGGGCCACCGGCTTGTGTGAGGCTTGCACATTGCTTTCTAGCTGCCTCCTCCTCGGAGGGGGAGCAGGACACAGGCGGGCTGGGGGCCTCAACATGGGAGTGTAGTTGCAGGCAGCTGGTCCACCCTTCCCAAAAACCCAACACTGTGAACAGAGAGGCCCCGGGCAGGGATCGCACAATTATTCCTCAGCACAGATTTCTGCACTCGAGTGAACTCCAAGTTGTATAGCTGGATATAAAAGGACATGCGTAGCTCCTTCACTACAGCCACTCCATCGTGATGTCGATGGACCTGGCACAGGAGAGAGTTAGAGAAGAATTACATCAACATGGGAGTGTAGTTGCAGGCAGCTGGTCCACCCTTCCCAAAAACCCAACACTGTGAACAGAGAGGCCCCGGGCAGGGATCGCACAATTATTCCTCAGCACAGATTTCTGCACTCGAGTGAACTCCAAGTTGTATAGCTGGATATAAAAGGACATGCGTAGCTCCTTCACTACAGCCACTCCATCCCATGGCTGTTGGCCATGGAGGAAGTGAACAGAACAGCTGCCACAAGAAGCAGAAGGTGGGCAGGGAGCATGAGAGTACCTGAGCTCGGTGTGGGTGCCGGTGGGGATGTCGTGCGTGGAGGCTGTGGTGTAGAGCCTGGTGAGGGGGTCGTGGGTTTTGATGGACCTGGCACAGGAGAGAGTTAGAGAAGAATTACATCAACATGGGAGTGTAGTTGCAGGCAGGTGGTCCACCCTTCCCAAACACCCCAACACCGTAACCAGAGAGGCCCCGGGCAGGAATCGCAGAATGTCATCCCAGAAAGAGCCCTGCCACTCAAGGGCTCTCCCATCAGCACAGCTGTGTGACAAAAGCAGATGAGGCGCTTCAGTACCTCTGCTCAGTGCCTTGTAATACATGAACTAAAGAGTGCCCGCAGGCAGTGCCAGTGCTCCAGTCTCCCAGAGCTAAGCCTGCTTGGGCACAGGCTGCACCACTGGCCTATAGGGCACTGCAAAGACAACCGCTGCTCCTGCCTGTAGCACAGCGGGCCGCCTCCCTGGGTGATATCTCTCAAGCCGCCCTTCCCCACGCCGAGCCTTGTACCTGCACCACAGGGTCCCTTCTCAATGGACAGATCATCCAATGCTACGTTGCTCCGGACATCTCCACCCCATTCTCCCTCCAGGACAATCTAAGGGAAAGCACGGGTCCCAGCGTTAGCTCCAGCCGCCTGTGTGAAGTGCCATTAGAGAGCACCGTTCGTCTCAGATGGCAGTGAGAGCCTGTGCCTTACCTTCAGGTTTCCTGTGCTGGCCACTGTGATCTCTCCCAAGTTCCACATGTCCCCGTGGTTCCCAACGCTGGTCCAGATCGGCACCAGCTCTTCGTCCTCAACCACGTACACCCGCAGGGCCATTGACTCAACTCCGTACATGTGATACCAGAAGCGGAAGCAGTGCGGTCCTTCCGAAGTGCACACCGGACTGACGAGATGAGCCACAAAGCCGGGGAAGGCATTGCTCCCATACAGGTAGATGTAGTAGCCGTCTGAAACAAAGTGTGAGCCACACTGTCACATGCACATCAAATCTAGAGAAAGCAGCCAGGGACAACACGGGCACTCAAGTCCTGGGAGCACCCCCTACTGCCCTTCAAGGCAGAGAAGAAGGAGGGGAGACCAAGCACAGGTCCTTTGCTAGCCACAACCCTCCCCGGCCCCGAGTCCACCCACTGCCACAAAGGGCTCTGGATCACGGCCAGGAAACACATGGCCCGTATTTGCTGTTGGAGGAGGGGGCTTGTTGCCATCTTCCCACGGACACCCCTCTGCCTGGAGGAGCGCTGTGTACGGGTTGCTGTTCCTACCTCCTGTTGTGTGGTCAGAGGAGGGGCCGGTGCCTGGCGTGGGCGTTGGACCCTTGTTCCTTATCCAGTCAATGCTGCTGTAATCTGCCTGGACCCAGCCACACAAGTCATCCTCGAACGTGCAGGCAAACTTGCAGACTTCTGGGGGAGCTGGGTATGGTGCAGAAAGGAAAGCAGAGTTTCTCGAGTGAGGGAGGGACCAGCTTTTCCCCCTGTCCCACAGGGCACACCTACGTTCCTGGCATGCTCATGGCCAAGTGAGGATGGCCAACCCAGGAGAAGCACGGGAGCTGAGTACCTAGCAGAGCCAGTAAAAAACACGGATGGGAGACAACAGTACCTGTGCTTGTCCCAGGGGCTGGTGATGTTGTCTGTGGAGGCCGCGTTGAGGTGTCTGGCAAGGGGGCCGTAGTTGTAGGAGCTGCAGGATGTACAGTGAAACCGGGGTTGGAGAAGTTGTGTTTCATAATGGGCATTTGTTCCTAAATGGGGAGTTTGCAACCTTCCCAAATAACCCCACACCGCGGCAAAAGGGCACGGCACACTTACCACAGACAGTGCCAGCGCTCCAGTCTCCCAGAGCAACGCCTGCCTCAGCACAGGCTGTGGCATAGGCCCCCAGGTCATTGCAGAGCTGCTCCGTGCTGCCGTTCGTAGCACACTGGTCATAGACACAGCTCTCAAAGTATGTCTGTGGCGGCAGAACTGCATGGCATGGCTGGAACGGGCCACCGGCTTGTGTGAGGCTTGCACATTGCTTTCTAGCTGCCTCCTCCTCGGAGGGGGAGCAGGACACAGGCGGGCTGGGGGCCGGGTCACACCTGCAAAGCAGACAGACAGCCGTGAGCCCACAGCAGCCGGACCTTTTCCTGACCTCCTCCCTAGCCAAAAGCTCAGTCTCGGGAGTCCAGATCCCTCCCTAAGACAAGGCATCCAGGGCTGTCACTTGCAAGGGTGGACAACGCGGACCACGGTCACCATACGCTTTCATGGCATCAGGGTGACGGAAACAAATGGCCAAGGCAGTCACAGTCCCAACAGCTGGGGAAAAGCATCGTGCCAAGGCCCTGGCCCGCTCCCTCTGGGGTCAGGAACGGTGGGATGCAGCGTGTGGAGGGGGAAGGCAGGGCCCTGCACGGAGGTCGGAAACAAATGGCCAAGGCAGTCACAGTCCCAACAGCTGGGGAAAAGCATCGTGCCAAGGCCCTGGCCCGCTCCCTCTGGGGTCAGGAACGGTGGGATGCAGCGTGTGGAGGGGGAAGGCAGGGACCTGCACGGAGGTCGCCAAGGACCCCAGAGCAGAGCGCCTGTGGGGAGAGAGCACCATGCACCCTGACGGCGTGGAGGGGCTTGGGCACTGCCACAAGCAAGTCAGGCTTGAGGGGAAGGGGGAACGGCCACGCATCTGGCACCCAGTGGCAGAGCAGACGTGCTGCTGGTGGGTGGAGCAGAGAGGGGAGACACAAGGATGATGTGGATGCTGCTGCTGGGGAGCCTCACATGCTCTCACACGCTTTCCCACCACTGCCTCTCCCTTACCCCATGCCTGCCGTTAGCATCCCCTCCTCCTGGTGGCCCTCACAGCTCCCCTCTCCCACGCTCCCTTTTGTCCGTCACCTACGCAACGGAACCAGAACTCACGGCCACTCATCATCTGGCACCATCCAGCTGGTTCCAAACTCATTGAAGTCGGGCACGACAACCCCGTCTGGCCGCGTGAAGTCATCCTGCTGGTTCCCAGTGTACGTCCCGCACAGCCCGCACAGCTTGCCCTTGTGCTTCTCGGACACCCTCACCAGGAGCTCGTGGTCCCCATTGAACTGCAGCTGCAGGCCCAGCTTGGTAGCAACCCGCACGTAGGAGCCACTCAGGGAAACGGTCACGCCAGGGGCAGGAGAAGCAGGCAGGGAGGACAGAGCACCGTTGATCTGAATAAGGGGGAGAGCGGGAGACAGAAGCATAAGGCAATGCCCTCCACTCACAGGTTCTTCCCTCCGATGGTGCCAGGCCCCAGTGAGTCAGAAGCCCCAGGGGCATGAGAAACCCTGCCCAGGCCCACGAGAACTGTGGCTACTCTACCTACGGCACACCAAGAGCCCAGTAAAACAAGCTGAACACCTGCTCTAGTGTGAGCAGCCATATCTGCCCCGCTCACAGCCTTGCCGTGCCCTTCTGTGAGCACGCCAGCAGGCTCAGGGAATCTCAAGCTCCACTTGGGGACAGAGGGGTACTTAATGGTGCCTCGGGCATCTGTTGTTCCCAGGTGTAAAAACGAGGGGCTTACGTAGACCGCCTTGTTCTGGCGCAGCGCAATGTGGAGGCCTTCCATGGACAGTGCCACAGAGTTCAGAGCTGTCCAGGTCGGGCTGCCGCGATGTTTGTTGCGGGTGGTGACAGTGAAGCCAACAGAGGAGTTGCCACAGCCCGTCACCACCGTGTAGTTGCAGGAGCCCTGGAAGTGGTGAAGCTTCCCATCGAAGGTGCTGTAATGCGGGTCGCCGTAGATGTGGCAGAGATCGGTGCTGGCCGGGTAACAGTCCCTCTGGCCATTCTGGATCTTGCAGACCTCGTCCTCACCACAGGACAACGCAGAGCAATTCATCTGGCCGTTGGCCTCACAGCGGCACCGGCGAGTGCAGTTCTCGCTCACAAAGTACTCGCCTTGCTGCAGGCAGAGAAACACCGAGTGTCAGCGTCTGAGGCGGGAAAGCAGAGGCAAGGGGGTGCCCTGGGAAGGGTGCAAGCCAGGGAAGGTTTTCACTCACGCTGTAGTAGTTGCCCTCAAAGAGGCAGCCACACTGGGCCTCGGGCACGCAGGTGTCTCCGCTGAGCAGGAAGCCAGAGGTACACGCGCAGCCCTCCACGCAGGGCTTGGAGCAGTTCTGTGGGGCTTCTCGGTCAACACAGGTGGCAGGACAGCCGGTCATGCAAGGGTCATAGTAGCTGTTGGCATCGCATGGCAGGGCTGCAATGGAAGGGGACAGTTAGGCCCAGCAAGCCTTCAAGGAAGGGCGACCTTCTGGAAGGGGAGGACCAAAGACTTGCTTTGGCCAGAGGGTCTGGGCATGGGGAGCAGCACCTCCCCCTCCGGCAACAGCAAGGCAGAAGGTACTCACGGCAGAAGGTGGCATTCCTCCAGGCAGGGAGAGTCACGCCGGCTGCCTGGCATGCATCGGCGTAGGCCTCCAGAGCAGCACACAGGAACTCCTGGCCACCATTCAGGGCACAAAGGTCATAGAAGCAGGTGTCAAAGTAGTCCTGAGGGTTGATCACACCGTGGCACCTCTCAAAAGAGCCAGGCCTGGCAGTCAGCATGCCACAGAACTCCTCCGATCGGTAGAGCTTCTCCTCTTCTGCACTGCAGGGTGGTGGTGGGATGGGGACACCGCAAGAGGAGTCATCGTCTGGGACCCGCCAGCTCTCCCCCAGCTCATTGGAGTCTGCGGCTTGCTGCCCGTTGGGCATCATGTAATCGTCCTCTCGCCGGTTGTTGAAGTTCCCGCACATGCCACAGGTCAGGTTGAAGTAGGCGGTGGGCACCTTCACCTCCACCGAGTGGTCAGCGTCGTAGGACACCTGGAGCTTGAAGTCTGTCTCCAGGACGATGTAGCGGCCGCTCCTGCTCACCGTGATGGCACCTCCCGCTGCGCTCACCGGCAAGGTCTGGCGCACATTGTTCACCTAGGGCAGACACACCGCAATGGACGCTGGGCTTCTCCCCGGCCTCCCTGGGGTCTCCTGCCCCAGGGAGGGAAATCAGCTGTCACGCCGGCCACGGCAAACCGGCGCCCATGACGCCCTTGCACCCCCACACCCCTGCAACTGGCAGAGCCGTGTCTCTGCTCTGCACTCTCAGGGGCCTCTGTGCAACACAGGCCACATTCCATCTTTGCCTGTCCGTCCTCTAGACCCACCCCTACCCAGAAAAGTGAAACAAAGGAACCCAGTGGCTTCAGGGACGCCAACTGGGCCTGGGAACTGTGGTGATGTTTGGTACATGCCAGGCCCTGCCTTCTAAGGACACCAGGCTCGTGCCAGCCTCACTGCTTACCAGCACTTGGCTCCTCTCCTTTTTGGCAATGGCAATGCGCACTCCGTACACCTCAACCACGACTTCACGCACATAGGACACTCTGGTGTTCCCACGATGCTCATTCTTGGCCTCAACATTGAAGTAGGGCAGGGCGGTGGTGTTGGAGCACACTTTGGCCAGCGTGTAGGTGCAGTTGCCCATGAAACTGTGTGTCACCTTGTCAAAGGTGACGTAGTGAGGATCATTGTGCACACGGCAGATGCCGTAGGATTCTTCGAGGCACTCAGGCTTCCCATCCTGCACCCCACAGTACTGGCCCTCAGGGCATGAGGCACTGGAGCACTGGACTTTGCTTCCCCGGGCGGGACACGTGCACTTTGAGGAGCAGGTATTGTCCGTCCAGAACTCCGAGCCCACGGGGTAGTGCTGCCCGTTGTGCCAACATCCACACTTCTGGCTGGGCACGCAGCGGTCGTTGTAGAGCAGGTACCCGCTGTCACACACACATCCTTCCACACATGGCAGGCTGCAGTTGGAGGGTGCTCGGTCGTTGTAGAGCAGGTACCCGCTGTCGCACACACATCCTTCCACACATGGCAGGCTGCAGGTAACAGGAGCCATTGGGTCGACACAGGTGGCAGGGCAGGCTGCAGCACAGGGCTCATAATGACTGTTGGATGGACAGGTGATGGCTGCCAAGACAGAAGACACAGCCGTTACTTGGAGAACACAACACATGCTTTGTGCTCTATTTTCCTCTTTGAAATACCAAAGGTCTGCTTGGGTCCTATCTGGTCTGCTTGCCTCCACAGGTGTTCTAAGCCACACCTGGTCAAATGAAACAGAAACCAGAGCCTCTAACACTTACAACTACCTGTAAATCCCCACGGCACGTAGTACAAATATTTCTTATTCTCCACTCCTCTTCTCAGTCCTATTCTGTGTTTTCCTGACAGGAATGAGCCCTGGTACCGTGTGTGGACTTACGGCAGAAGGTTGCGTTCCTCCACACAGGGATCTTGACGCCAAGCGACTGGCAGGCATCTGCGTAGGACTGCAAGCTCTTGCACAGGGTCTCGTGGTCCAGCCCCAGCTCACACAGGTCGTAAAAGCATGTGTCAAAGTAACTGTTGGGGCTCAGCACAGCGTGGCACATCTGGAAGGGGCCGCTGGTGTCATTGAGGAGCCCACAGAAGGCGCTGCTGGCAATGACCTGCTTGTCCGTCTCATTGCAGGCTGGGGTGGGCAGTGGTCCGGCTGAGCAGCTGTGGAGAGACGGGCAGAAGGGCCCCCCTGGGTCATCTGTGGGCTTCTCCTAGTGCCTCCCCCTCCCTGTCCCCAGACCTGCTGGGGGTCACACACACCTGCTGTCGTTGGACACCTGCCAGCTGTTGCCCAGGCTGGTGGAGTCTGGCTCCAGCATCCCTTCCGGGTTCTGGAAGTCATCCGCTGCCATCCCGTTGTAGTTCCCACACATGCCACAAACCTTCTCCCCAAAGGTGCTGGGAAGCGTCACCTCCACCCGATGCTTCCCATCAAACTTCACTCTCAAGCCAAAGTCTGTTGTGATCACTGTGTAGAACCCGCTGGACGAGACCTGCACGCCCACGGATGGGGTGCAGGGCAGGACCTCTGCCACTCCGTTGACCTGGAAGGACAGAAACCAAGGCCGGGTTGGAGCAACCCATTTGGCACAGCTCTGTCCTCTCGCACAGCCCCACCGCCTCTCCGCCTTGTGCTTACCGTCACCACTCCCCCCTTCCCCAGCCTTATCCGCTGGCCGGCCACATCGACATCCACGTATCGGACATAGGACACGCGAGTGTTGCCTCCCCTGTGCTCATTGGCCGCTTCCACGTTGAAGTACGGCAGCGAGCTGTTGCTCTCGCACAGCTTGGAAAGGGTGTAGGTGCACGTGCCCATGAAGTGATGTAGCTGCTTGTCAAACGTGTGGTAGTGAGGGTCTCCTTCCACCACACAGGTTCCTGACAGCGGAAAGACCAGAGGAAATGTTTGGTTAAACACCTCCTGCTGCTTCTGCTCGCCAGCCTTCTCTGCACAAAGACTGCAGCCCCATGGCTTGTCTACTCTACTCACCTGGGCTTGGTGTGGGTGCTGGTGTGGTCGTGTCTTCTGAAGGTGTTGTGATGGTCGTGCTTGGTGTTGTTGTAATTACATCATCTATAAATGAGACAATGGTACAAGCAAATCAATCCTCATTTGCCAGCTCTTGTTCAAGACTGAAGCTACAATGACTGCCACAACAAACAATGACCGCCCCTCCTCACCCTAGCCTTTTACCTGGGCAATATCCTTTTTCAATGGACAGATCATCCAATGCTATGTCACTCCGGAAGTCTTCTCCTATCATGCCTTCCAGGACAATCTAGGGGAAGAGTTAGTTCTCAGAATTAGCTATAGCCACATATGTGAAGTGCCATTACAAAGCACGGTTCATCTCAGGTGGTATTTAGAGCCTCTGCCTTTACCTGCATGTGTCCTCTGCTGTGCACCGTGACCTGTCCCAAGTTCCATTGGTCCCCTTTGTTTCCAGCATCTTTCCATTCCAGTGTTGATGTTTCATTGTGAACTACGTACACGCGCAGGGCCATAGCCTCAGCCACTCCGTACATGTGATACCAGAAGCGGAAGCAGTGAGGTCCTTCTGAACCACACACTGGACTGACCAAACGTGCTACGTCACTTGGCTCATGCTCACTTCCTTGCAGGTAGATATAATAGCCCTCTGGAAACAACAGTGTGTCGAATTTTCACATTAATCAAGAGGAGAGATTGATTCCAGCGAGACAGCCTACACTTCCCAAGCATACCAACACCATGACCAGAGGGGGCGAAAGCAGCTATCAAACAGTGACTCCTCAGCAGAGACTTCTGCACTCTCTCCAATCAGCATTGATGTGTATAGAAGGAGACACGCAGCTCCTTCACTACAGCATCTCCCTCCCTTGGCCACGAGCCTTGAAGAAAGCTAACTGAACATTTGCCACAAGTAATAGATGGGGATGGGACATGGCAGTACCTGAACTCGGTGTGGGTCCTGATGTATGTGGAGGCACCAGTGTGGTGTTTGGAAAAGCAGTCCCAGGTTCTGCAGTTGATGGACCTAGCATAAGAAAGAGTTAGAGAAGATGTGCATCAACATGGGAGTGTAGTTGCAGGCAGCTGGTCCACCCTTCCCAAACACCCAACACTGTAACAACAGGCTCCCAGGGCAGGGATCAAACAGTGACTCCTCAGTGAAATTTCCAGGACTTCAGGGCTCTTCTACCAGCATTTTTGATTGTGAGAAGGCAGATCCTTCACTACAGCCACTCCATTCCATGGCTGTTGGCCATGGAGGAAGTGAACAGAACAGCTGCCACAAGAAGCAGAAGGTGGGCAGGGAGCATGAGAGTACCTGAGCTCGGTGTGGGTGCCGGTGGGGATGTCGTGCGTGGAGGCTGTAACAGAAACCAGAGCCTCTAACACTTACAACTACCTGTAAATCCCCACGGCACGTAGTACAAATATTTCTTATTCTCCACTCCTCTTCTCAGTCCTATTCTGTGTTTTCCTGACAGGAATGAGCCCTGGTACCGTGTGTGGACTTACGGCAGAAGGTTGCGTTCCTCCACACAGGGATCTTGACGCCAAGCGACTGGCAGGCATCTGCGTAGGACTGCAAGCTCTTGCACAGGGTCTCGTGGTCCAGCCCCAGCTCACACAGGTCGTAAAAGCATGTGTCAAAGTAACTGTTGGGGCTCAGCACAGCGTGGCACATCTGGAAGGGGCCGCTGGTGTCATTGAGGAGCCCACAGAAGGCGCTGCTGGCAATGACCTGCTTGTCCGTCTCATTGCAGGCTGGGGTGGGCAGTGGTCCGGCTGAGCAGCTGTGGAGAGACGGGCAGAAGGGCCCCCCTGGGTCATCTGTGGGCTTCTCCTAGTGCCTCCCCCTCCCTGTCCCCAGACCTGCTGGGGGTCACACACACCTGCTGTCGTTGGACACCTGCCAGCTGTTGCCCAGGCTGGTGGAGTCTGGCTCCAGCATCCCTTCCGGGTTCTGGAAGTCATCCGCTGCCATCCCGTTGTAGTTCCCACACATGCCACAAACCTTCTCCCCAAAGGTGCTGGGAAGCGTCACCTCCACCCGATGCTTCCCATCAAACTTCACTCTCAAGCCAAAGTCTGTTGTGATCACTGTGTAGAACCCGCTGGACGAGACCTGCACGCCCACGGATGGGGTGCAGGGCAGGACCTCTGCCACTCCGTTGACCTGGAAGGACAGAAACCAAGGCCGGGTTGGAGCAACCCATTTGGCACAGCTCTGTCCTCTCGCACAGCCCCACCGCCTCTCCGCCTTGTGCTTACCGTCACCACTCCCCCCTTCCCCAGCCTTATCCGCTGGCCGGCCACATCGACATCCACGTATCGGACATAGGACACGCGAGTGTTGCCTCCCCTGTGCTCATTGGCCGCTTCCACGTTGAAGTACGGCAGCGAGCTGTTGCTCTCGCACAGCTTGGAAAGGGTGTAGGTGCACGTGCCCATGAAGTGATGTAGCTGCTTGTCAAACGTGTGGTAGTGAGGGTCTCCTTCCACCACACAGGTTCCTGACAGCGGAAAGACCAGAGGAAATGTTTGGTTAAACACCTCCTGCTGCTTCTGCTCGCCAGCCTTCTCTGCACAAAGGACTTCCGTCTCATTACGGGTCTATTGCTTTTACAAATACACAGATTTAGCAGAGATCTCTGTCAAGACACAAGTGCTTTACCAGGCAACCTCCTCAATGACCAAAGCACTAGAAATACAGAAGCCTCTCCTGAACCCTCAGAATGGGAATAGCATTCGGTGTCTGTCTCAATATGGCAGGATAGTGACACAAAGCAAATAACAGTCCTCCAACAAAACGCAACACAGATCCACAAGGGGATGGTTTTGAGGATGATTGAAACTTCACCAATAATAGTGGTACCTGAGTCTGTCCCATGAGGTGGTGTCGTTGTTGTGTGTGTTGGCTGTGTGGTGGTGTCTGGCAATGGGGTCGAGGGCGTAGGAGGAACTATGGAGAGAGAAAAGTAGAAGTGGTCAGTGTCAAGGGGAGAGATTTATTCCAGGGAGACAGCCTACCCTTCCCAAGCACACCAACACCATGACCAGAGGGGGCCAAAGCAGCTATCAAACAGTGACTCCTCAGCAGAGACTTCTGCACTCTCTCCAATCAGCATTGATGTGTATAGAAGGAGACACGCAGCTCCTTCACTACAGCATCTCCCTCCCTTGGCCACGAGCCTTGAAGAAAGCTAACTGAACATTTGCCACAAGTAATAGATGGGGATGGGACATGGCAGTACCTGAACTCGGTGTGGGTCCTGATGTATGTGGAGGCACCAGTGTGGTGTTTGGAAAAGCAGTCCCAGGTTCTGCAGTTGATGGACCTAGCATAAGAAAGAGTTAGAGAAGATGTGCATCAACATGGGAGTGTAGTTGCAGGCAGCTGGTCCACCCTTCCCAAACACCCAACACTGTAACAACAGGCTCCCAGGGCAGGGATCAAACAGTGACTCCTCAGTGAAATTTCCAGGACTTCAGGGCTCTTCTACCAGCATTTTTGATTGTGAGAAGGCAGATCCTTCACTACAGCCACTCCATTCCATGGCTGTTGGCCATGGAGGAAGTGAACAGAACAGCTGCCACAAGAAGCAGAAGGTGGGCAGGGAGCATGAGAGTACCTGAGCTCGGTGTGGGTGCCGGTGGGGATGTCGTGCGTGGAGGCTGTGGTGTAGAGCCTGGTGAGGGGGTCGTGGGTTTTGATGGACCTGGCACAGGAGAGAGTTAGAGAAGAATTACATCAACATGGGAGTGTAGTTGCAGGCAGGTGGTCCACCCTTCCCAAACACCCCAACACCGTAACCAGAGAGGCCCCGGGCAGGAATCGCAGAATGTCATCCCAGAAAGAGCCCTGCCACTCAAGGGCTCTCCCATCAGCACAGCTGTGTGACAAAAGCAGATGAGGCGCTTCAGTACCTCTGCTCAGTGCCTTGTAATACATGAACTAAAGAGTGCCCGCAGGCAGTGCCAGTGCTCCAGTCTCCCAGAGCTAAGCCTGCTTGGGCACAGGCTGCACCACTGGCCTATAGGGCACTGCAAAGACAACCGCTGCTCCTGCCTGTAGCACAGCGGGCCGCCTCCCTGGGTGACATCTCTCAAGCCGCCCTTCCCCACGCCGAGCCTTGTACCTGCACCACAGGGTCCCTTCTCAATGGACAGATCATCCAATGCTACGTTGCTCCGGACATCTCCACCCCATTCTCCCTCCAGGACAATCTAAGGGAAAGCACGGGTCCCAGCGTTAGCTCCAGCCGCCTGTGTGAAGTGCCATTAGAGAGCACCGTTCGTCTCAGATGGCAGTGAGAGCCTGTGCCTTACCTTCAGGTTTCCTGTGCTGGCCACTGTGATCTCTCCCAAGTTCCACATGTCCCCGTGGTTCCCAACGCTGGTCCAGATCGGCACCAGCTCTTCGTCCTCAACCACGTACACCCGCAGGGCCATTGACTCAACTCCGTACATGTGATACCAGAAGCGGAAGCAGTGCGGTCCTTCCGAAGTGCACACCGGACTGACGAGATGAGCCACAAAGCCGGGGAAGGCATTGCTCCCATACAGGTAGATGTAGTAGCCGTCTGAAACAAAGTGTGAGCCACACTGTCACATGCACATCAAATCTAGAGAAAGCAGCCAGGGACAACACGGGCACTCAAGTCCTGGGAGCACCCCCTACTGCCCTTCAAGGCAGAGAAGAAGGAGGGGAGACCAAGCACAGGTCCTTTGCTAGCCACAACCCTCCCCGGCCCCGAGTCCACCCACTGCCACAAAGGGCTCTGGATCACGGCCAGGAAACACATGGCCCGTATTTGCTGTTGGAGGAGGGGGCTTGTTGCCATCTTCCCACGGACACCCCTCTGCCTGGAGGAGCGCTGTGTACGGGTTGCTGTTCCTACCTCCTGTTGTGTGGTCAGAGGAGGGGCCGGTGCCTGGCGTGGGCGTTGGACCCTTGTTCCTTATCCAGTCAATGCTGCTGTAATCTGCCTGGACCCAGCCACACAAGTCATCCTCGAACGTGCAGGCAAACTTGCAGACTTCTGGGGGAGCTGGGTATGGTGCAGAAAGGAAAGCAGAGTTTCTCAAGTGAGGGAGGGACCAACTTTTCCCCCTGTCCCACAGGGCACACCTACGTTCCTGGCATGCTCATGGCCAAGTGAGGATGGCCAACCCAGGGGAAGCACGGGAGCTGAGTACCTAGCAGAGCCAGTCAAAAACACGGATGGGAGACAACAGTACCTGTGCTTGTCCCAGGGGCTGGTGATGTTGTCTGTGGAGGCCGCGTTGAGGTGTCTGGCAAGGGGGCCGTAGTTGTAGGAGCTGCAGGATGTACAGTGAAACCGGGGTTGGAGAAGTTGTGTTTCATAATGGGCATTTGTTCCTAAATGGGGAGTTTGCAACCTTCCCAAATAACCCTACACCGCGGCAAAAGGGCACGGCACACTTACCACAGACAGTGCCAGCGCTCCAGTCTCCCAGAGCAACGCCTGCCTCAGCACAGGCTGTGGCATAGGCCCCCAGGTCATTGCAGAGCTGCTCCGTGCTGCCGTTCGTAGCACACTGGTCATAGACACAGCTCTCAAAGTATGTCTGTGGCGGCAGAACTGCATGGCATGGCTGGAACGGGCCACCGGCTTGTGTGAGGCTTGCACATTGCTTTCTAGCTGCCTCCTCCTCGGAGGGGGAGCAGGACACAGGCGGGCTGGGGGCCGGGTCACACCTGCAAAGCAGACAGACAGCTGTGAGCCCACAGAAGCCGGACCTTTTCCTGACCTCCTCCCTAGCCAAAAGCTCAGTCTCGGGAGTCCAGATCCCTCCCTAAGACAAGGCATCCAGGGCTGTCACTTGCAAGGGCGGACAACGCGGACCACGGTCACCATACGCTTTCATGGCATCAGGGTGACGGAAACAAATGGCCAAGGCAGTCACAGTCCCAACAGCTGGGGAAAAGCATCGTGCCAAGGCCCTGGCCCGCTCCCTCTGGGGTCAGGAACGGTGGGATGCAGCGTGTGGAGGGGGAAGGCAGGGCCCTGCACGGAGGTCGCCAAGGACCCCAGAGCAGAGCGCCTGTGGGGAGAGAGCACCATGCACCCTGACGGCGTGGAGGGGCTTGGGCACTGCCACAAGCAAGTCAGGCTTGAGGGGAAGGGGGAACGGCCACGCATCTGGCACCCAGTGGCAGAGCAGACGTGCTGCTGGTGGGTGGAGCAGAGAGGGGAGACACAAGGATGATGTGGATGCTGCTGCTGGGGAGCCTCACATGCTCTCACACGCTTTCCCACCACTGCCTCTCCCTTACCCCATGCCTGCCGTTAGCATCCCCTCCTCCTGGTGGCCCTCACAGCTCCCCTCTCCCACGCTCCCTTTTGTCCGTCACCTACGCAACGGAACCAGAACTCACGGCCACTCATCATCTGGCACCATCCAGCTGGTTCCAAACTCATTGAAGTCGGGCACGACAACCCCGTCCGGCCGTGTGAAGTCATCCTGCTGGTTCCCAGTGTACGTCCCGCACAGCCCGCACAGCTTGCCCTTGTGCTTCTCGGACACCCTCACCAGGAGCTCGTGGTCCCCATTGAACTGCAGCTGCAGGCCCAGCTTGGTAGCAACCCGCACGTAGGAGCCACTCAGGGAAACGGTCACGCCAGGGGCAGGAGAAGCAGGCAGGGAGGACAGAGCACCGTTGATCTGAATAAGGGGGAGAGCGGGAGACAGAAGCATAAGGCAATGCCCTCCACTCACAGGTTCTTCCCTCCGATGGTGCCAGGCCCCAGTGAGTCAGAAGCCCCAGGGGCATGAGAAACCCTGCCCAGGCCCACGAGAACTGTGGCTACTCTACCTACGGCACACCAAAAGCCCAGGAAAACTAGCTGAACACCTGCTCTAGTGTGAGCAGCCATATCTGCCCCGCTCACAGCCTTGCCGTGCCCTTCTGTGAGCACGCCAGCAGGCTCAGGGAATCTCAAGCTCCACTTGGGGACAGAGGGGTACTTAATGGTGCCTCGGGCATCTGTTGTTCCCAGGTGTAAAAACGAGGGGCTTACGTAGACCGCCTTGTTCTGGCGCAGCGCAATGTGGAGGCCTTCCATGGACAGTGCCACAGAGTTCAGAGCTGTCCAGGTCGGGCTGCCGCGATGTTTGTTGCGGGTGGTGACAGTGAAGCCAACAGAGGAGTTGCCACAGCCCGTCACCACCGTGTAGTTGCAGGAGCCCTGGAAGTGGTGAAGCTTCCCATCGAAGGTGCTGTAATGCGGGTCGCCGTAGATGTGGCAGAGATCGGTGCTGGCCGGGTAACAGTCCCTCTGGCCATTCTGGATCTTGCAGACCTCGTCCTCACCACAGGACAACGCAGAGCAATTCATCTGGCCGTTGGCCTCACAGCGGCACCGGCGAGTGCAGTTCTCGCTCACAAAGTACTCGCCTTGCTGCAGGCAGAGAAACACCGAGTGTCAGCGTCTGAGGCGGGAAAGCAGAGGCAAGGGGGTGCCCTGGGAAGGGTGCAAGCCAGGGAAGGTTTTCACTCACGCTGTAGTAGTTGCCCTCAAAGAGGCAGCCACACTGGGCCTCGGGCACGCAGGTGTCTCCGCTGAGCAGGAAGCCAGAGGTACACGCGCAGCCCTCCACGCAGGGCTTGGAGCAGTTCTGTGGGGCTTCTCGGTCAACACAGGTGGCAGGACAGCCGGTCATGCAAGGGTCATAGTAGCTGTTGGCATCGCATGGCAGGGCTGCAATGGAAGGGGACAGTTAGGCCCAGCAAGCCTTCAAGGAAGGGCGACCTTCTGGAAGGGGAGGACCAAAGACTTGCTTTGGCCAGAGGGTCTGGGCATGGGGAGCAGCACCTCCCCCTCCGGCAACAGCAAGGCAGAAGGTACTCACGGCAGAAGGTGGCATTCCTCCAGGCAGGGAGAGTCACGCCGGCTGCCTGGCATGCATCGGCGTAGGCCTCCAGAGCAGCACACAGGAACTCCTGGCCACCATTCAGGGCACAAAGGTCATAGAAGCAGGTGTCAAAGTAGTCCTGAGGGTTGATCACACCGTGGCACCTCTCAAAAGAGCCAGGCCTGGCAGTCAGCATGCCACAGAACTCCTCCGATCGGTAGAGCTTCTCCTCTTCTGCACTGCAGGGTGGTGGTGGGATGGGGACACCGCAAGAGGAGTCATCGTCTGGGACCCGCCAGCTCTCCCCCAGCTCATTGGAGTCTGCGGCTTGCTGCCCGTTGGGCATCATGTAATCGTCCTCTCGCCGGTTGTTGAAGTTCCCGCACATGCCACAGGTCAGGTTGAAGTAGGCGGTGGGCACCTTCACCTCCACCGAGTGGTCAGCGTCGTAGGACACCTGGAGCTTGAAGTCTGTCTCCAGGACGATGTAGCGGCCGCTCCTGCTCACCGTGATGGCACCTCCCGCTGCGCTCACCGGCAAGGTCTGGCGCACATTGTTCACCTAGGGCAGACACACCGCAATGGACGCTGGGCTTCTCCCCGGCCTCCCTGGGGTCTCCTGCCCCAGGGAGGGAAATCAGCTGTCACGCCGGCCACTGCAAACCGGCGCCCATGACGCCCTTGCACCCCCACACCCCTGCAACTGGCAGAGCCGTGTCTCTGCTCTGCACTCTCAGGGGCCTCTGTGCAACACAGGCCACATTCCATCTTTGCCTGTCCCTCCTCTAGACCCACCCCTACCCAGAAAAGTGAAACAAAGGAACCCAGTGGCTTCAGGGACGCCAGCTGGGCCTGGGAACTGTGGTGATGTTTGGTACATGCCAAGCCCTGCCTTCTAAGGACACCAGGCTCGTGCCAGCCTCACTGCTTACCAGCACTTGGCTCCTCTCCTTTTTGGCAATGGCAATGCGCACTCCGTACACCTCAACCACGACTTCACGCACATAGGACACTCTGGTGTTCCCACGATGCTCGTTCTTGGCCTCAACATTGAAGTAGGGCAGGGCGGTGGTGTTGGAGCACACTTTGGCCAGCGTGTAGGTGCAGTTGCCCATGAAGTTGTGTGTCACCTTGTCAAAGGTGATGTAGTGAGGGTCTCCGTGGACGTGGCAGATGCCGTAGGACTCTTCAAGGCACTCAGGCTTCCCATCCTGCACCCCACAGTACTGGCCCTCAGGGCATGAGGCACTGGAGCACTGGACTTTGCTTCCCCGGGCGGGACACGTGCACTTTGAGGAGCAGGTATTGTCCGTCCAGAACTCCGAGCCCACGGGGTAGTGCTGCCCGTTGTGCCAACATCCACACTTCTGGCTGGGCACGCAGCGGTCGTTGTAGAGCAGGTACCCGCTGTCACACACACATCCTTCCACACATGGCAGGCTGCAGTTGGAGGGTGCTATTGGGTCGACACAGGTGGCAGGGCAGGCTGCAGCACAGGGCTCATAATGACTGTTGGATGGACAGGTGATGGCTGCCAAGACAGAAGACACAGCCGTTACTTGGAGAACACAACACATGCTTTGTGCTCTATTTTCCTCTTTGAAATACCAAAGGTCTGCTTGGGTCCTATCTGGTCTGCTTGCCTCCACAGGTGTTCTAAGCCACACCTGGTCAAATGAAACAGAAACCAGAGCCTCTAACACTTACAACTACCTGTAAATCCCCACGGCACGTAGTACAAATATTTCTTATTCTCCACTCCTCTTCTCAGTCCTATTCTGTGTTTTCCTGACAGGAATGAGCCCTGGTACCGTGTGTGGACTTACGGCAGAAGGTTGCGTTCCTCCACACAGGGATCTTGACGCCAAGCGACTGGCAGGCATCTGCGTAGGACTGCAAGCTCTTGCACAGGGTCTCGTGGTCCAGCCCCAGCTCACACAGGTCGTAAAAGCATGTGTCAAAGTAACTGTTGGGGCTCAGCACAGCGTGGCACATCTGGAAGGGGCCGCTGGTGTCATTGAGGAGCCCACAGAAGGCGCTGCTGGCAATGACCTGCTTGTCCGTCTCATTGCAGGCTGGGGTGGGCAGTGGTCCGGCTGAGCAGCTGTGGAGAGACGGGCAGAAGGGCCCCCCTGGGTCATCTGTGGGCTTCTCCTAGTGCCTCCCCCTCCCTGTCCCCAGACCTGCTGGGGGTCACACACACCTGCTGTCGTTGGACACCTGCCAGCTGTTGCCCAGGCTGGTGGAGTCTGGCTCCAGCATCCCTTCCGGGTTCTGGAAGTCATCCGCTGCCATCCCGTTGTAGTTCCCACACATGCCACAAACCTTCTCCCCAAAGGTGCTGGGAAGCGTCACCTCCACCCGATGCTTCCCATCAAACTTCACTCTCAAGCCAAAGTCTGTTGTGATCACTGTGTAGAACCCGCTGGACGAGACCTGCACGCCCACGGATGGGGTGCAGGGCAGGACCTCTGCCACTCCGTTGACCTGGAAGGACAGAAACCAAGGCCGGGTTGGAGCAACCCATTTGGCACAGCTCTGTCCTCTCGCACAGCCCCACCGCCTCTCCGCCTTGTGCTTACCGTCACCACTCCCCCCTTCCCCAGCCTTATCCGCTGGCCGGCCACATCGACATCCACGTATCGGACATAGGACACGCGAGTGTTGCCTCCCCTGTGCTCATTGGCCGCTTCCACGTTGAAGTACGGCAGCGAGCTGTTGCTCTCGCACAGCTTGGAAAGGGTGTAGGTGCACGTGCCCATGAAGTGATGTAGCTGCTTGTCAAACGTGTGGTAGTGAGGGTCTCCTTCCACCACACAGGTTCCTGACAGCGGAAAGACCAGAGGAAATGTTTGGTTAAACACCTCCTGCTGCTTCTGCTCGCCAGCCTTCTCTGCACAAAGACTGCAGCCCCATGGCTTGTCTACTCTACTCACCTGGGCTTGGTGTGGGTGCTGGTGTGGTCGTGTCTTCTGAAGGTGTTGTGATGGTCGTGCTTGGTGTTGTTGTAATTACATCATCTATAAATGAGACAATGGTACAAGCAAATCAATCCTCATTTGCCAGCTCTTGTTCAAGACTGAAGCTACAATGACTGCCACAACAAACAATGACCGCCCCTCCTCACCCTAGCCTTTTACCTGGGCAATATCCTTTTTCAATGGACAGATCATCCAATGCTATGTCACTCCGGAAGTCTTCTCCTATCATGCCTTCCAGGACAATCTAGGGGAAGAGTTAGTTCTCAGAATTAGCTATAGCCACATATGTGAAGTGCCATTACAAAGCACGGTTCATCTCAGGTGGTATTTAGAGCCTCTGCCTTTACCTGCATGTGTCCTCTGCTGTGCACCGTGACCTGTCCCAAGTTCCATTGGTCCCCTTTGTTTCCAGCATCTTTCCATTCCAGTGTTGATGTTTCATTGTGAACTACGTACACGCGCAGGGCCATAGCCTCAGCCACTCCGTACATGTGATACCAGAAGCGGAAGCAGTGAGGTCCTTCTGAACCACACACTGGACTGACCAAACGTGCTACGTCACTTGGCTCATGCTCACTTCCTTGCAGGTAGATATAATAGCCCTCTGGAAACAACAGTGTGTCGAATTTTCACATTAATGAGACAGGACAAGATGAAATGCCTTCATTTACACATTGCATACAGTACAACTTTTCTTCACCCAGCACTTGCATTAAACTTTCAGTCCCTAAATTTATTTCCAGCAGATTACATTGGTCCACTAGTTTGGGAAAGGAAAGGCTTCCAAAGGGGAGGCTGAGTGCCACAGTGATCCAGTCTCAGCCTGGATATACCTTTGCTGAAGTCTCTTTACAGGAGCTTATGCTAACAGGTCACATGCTTTGGTCACAGGTCCTGTACTGCTCATCCACCCCACAACAGATTACTGACTGCTGCAGAAGGCTCCGGATTGAGCCTAGGAAACACACAGCCTGGATTTGTTATTAAAACAGGCTCCATGCCCTCTTCCAAGAGAGGCACACCCAAGTATGGTTTGTGGTTCCTACCTCCAGTTGTGTGGTCATAGGAAGGACCAGTATTTGGTGTGGGTGTTGGCCCCTTGTGCCTTATCCAGTCAAAGTTGTCACTGTTTTCCTGTTGCCACTCACAGAAGTCGACATCAAACGTGCAGGACATATTGCAGGCTGTTGGTGCAGCTGTATATGGTGCAAAAAGAAAAAAAAGTTTCCATGATGAGGTTTGGAATCTTCTCTCTGTTCTGACAATGCCCTTCTAGGTCTCAAGCACCCATGTTCATGAAAAATTTGAAGATGGAATGAGAATAAGTGGCCCCTACTGAAAAATTGACTATAAAATATGAAGTTTTAAGTTCCTGAGAATAAGTGTTATTTTACAAGCTCCTTTCTCAGCTAGCATCATGATACACTAATATCCTGTATTTTTACAATGTGCCACAGTCATAATCCTTGGTCATTGCAAAACGCTCAAAGCTTTCCTATTTGGCACAGTAGTATTCATCTGACTCTTAAAGTCCTGCCTAGGTGCAAATCTAGACATCATAATGAGAATTGTCTAACATTTCTTTTTATTTCTTATAAACTGGGATAAGTACTGTCTCAGAATTCTAAAGAGGTTATGCCTTTTTATGTCATAGCTTCATACTTAGGCTGCCATTTCTGCTGGCTTTGGCAATCATCTCTGGTAGTTCTAGACGAAGCAATTTTTTGCCTCTAGCCTTACCTCTTTGTTAACTAGTCTACCAAGATAATAACAGACCAATAGTGTTATGACTGGAAGGCTGAACGGACCTCAAGCTGCAGGAATCTTCTTTATTAATTTTAAAGCCCTGGTTTATATACTTCTGAATTTATTTCAGAATTGAAAACCTGGAGCTGTAGACAGGTTGGGTAAGTGATGTATTAACACTTCTCAAAAAGGAAAAATATTTTATAAAAGACAAAGTGATGATTAGACAAGTGCTCAATTGTCCCTGGTTGAACCCTTAACTGACAGTGTATGATGTCTTTCATGACCTGATTCTGATCAATGGTCTTAGGTCAAAAGTGTTAAAATATCATGTCCTAAAGTGAATTCTGGAAGCCCATTAGAAGTCCAATCTCCAGAGATGCTAAGCACTTGAAAGCTTCCTGTGTCTCCTTGAATTCCCTTTTCTGAAATTCTCCTCAACTTAGTAACTTGAATTTATATTCATGAGGATTTAGCTGGATGGCTATTTGCTAAATGACCTAACAACTTACCACAGATGGTATCTTTCCTCCATTCACCCAGATTTACACCTCCAAGTTCACAGGCAGCAGCATATGCCTCTAAAATCTTGCAAAACTGATCAGAATTCCCCTCTGTGGCACACAGGTCATAGACACAACTCTCAAAATAGAGCTGGGGGGGAATATGCCAATGGCAGACCTGAAAAGGTCCACTGTTTTTCAAAATAATTTTGCAAAGTTCTTCATATTCTTTCTCTTTTGCTGTGTCACAAGTGGGTGGTACAACTGAAACTGGATTACACCTGTATCAAAAAAAAAAAAAACAGTAGCATGGTTATATAATAAATATTTATATTTTGTTCTATCCTGCAAGGCATGCCTCAACAGAAATAGAATCCTATGCCAAATTCCATGGATTTTCTGTGTATAGTCATCTTTAGTGTCTCAAACCACAAAGTGAGAAATATTACAATTTGACTCATAATTCCCCATTAAGAATATAATTGTGAAGTGTTGACGTGTGACTGTCTGTCCACAGACTGAAGTCCAGAAGAAACCAACAAATCAGCTAACGCAAGCAAGATCATTTCAGTTCAATACTGCATATAGTAAGAGCAATAATTTGCTCATTAATAGCCAGATAAATGTCCCATGTCTATGTTAATCAATGTGGAGTTATCTTAGGAGCTGAATCTGAGAGATATATTTGGACTTCTTAGAGTAAGGTAATATAAAGGAGATATTTCAGAATAAACAGCTAAGAATAAAGAACAGTTATATGCAAAAAAGGAGCCCAGTTTCAAACAAAATCTACAAAGGGTGGGTGGAAAACCTCTGAATGGTGATTTTAAAATTTCAATGCTTCCTATTGAAAAGTGGAGTTATTCAAAGGTGAAAATACTAGCAAACAAGTAATATCAAAGAAGGGTTACTATGTAATATAAGTAATGTACATTAATCCTATAACTAGATGATTTATGTTTCAGGCATTTTGCTGTTTCCCAAAGTATTAGCAGATACTTACGTCCAGTTGTCATCCTTCACTAGCCAGCTGTCACCAAATTTATTTGGATCCTGTTCTAAGACTTTATCTGGTTTTAGAAAATCATCCAGTTGGTTGTCATTGAATGTCCCACACAGACCACACAGCTGTCCTTTGAGACTTTCATCAACCAGAATGAAAAGCTCCTGGTCACCATCAAACTTCACCTGGATCCCTAGAGAGGTATCAATGACCACATGATGTCCTTTTATAGCTACTCTGACTCCAGTGTTCAAATCCACAGGAAGAGAAACTTGAACTCCATTCACCTAAACAAAACAAAACCCACACAGCTAGGTAAGTCAATAAAGCCCCCATGAATAAAGAGGACACCTACACTGCCAGTACCATCATCACCAGGTCATCCTTACTCTAATGAACAATGCAGACACAAAACTTTGAAGCTTAGCAAAGCCTAACGGGCTGCATACTTATCGCACATCTTGAATAGAGCTTTGTAGCAGAAGTTGAGCTCTGTGCTGTCACAACGATGCACATAGCAATACTTGGAATAGTTTAAAGCTAGCTTTGGTATCAATGAGTCTGAGAGTGTAATGCGTTTATTTTAAAGGCCAGTTCTATAAATTTCAGACAGAGATTTAGTTCAAAAGAAAGTTTCTCTTATAGATGAAGCTACGGAGGAAGATGGTTTTTTTTCCTACAACCTCATTTAGAAAAGATTTGAATGGACAGAAGGAAGCTATGCTGATTTCTGCCTTCCTAATTAAAAAAAAAATAAAGTCTGTGACTTTTAGCACGTGTGGTCTTGGAGATGAATATAGCAGAGAAATCTTATTGGACAGAAATGTAAAGTGAATAAACGAGATGGATTGTTTATGCTCAAAGTAGAACACTTACATAGATCTCTTTATTTTTCTTCAAAACAATGTGAACATTTTCCAGTGTGACAGCAACTGAGTTCAAGGCTGTCCAGTTTGGGTTTCCTCTATGTTCATTCCTGGTTGTCACTGAAAATCTTTCAGAAGAATTTGTGCATGTCTCAACAACAGTATAATTGCAGTCTCCTTGGAAATGGTACAGTCTTCCATCAAAGGTTATATAATGTGGATCCCCAAAAATGTGGCAGGGGCTGGGATTCAATGGATAACATCCCAGGAGTCCATTCTGCACCTTGCAAACTTCGCTTACTTCACATCTCTCTGAATTGCAAACTACAGTCCCATTTCCAGCACATGTACATTGGCCTGCACAGTCTGTTTGCCAAAAAGCTTCTCCCTTCTGTTAGAGACAATAAAATAAAAATAAATTAAAAGAGTAATGGTAATGATGAACTGTGACAAAAGCCCCTGAACTATGTGCAAGAACAAACCTCATAATATTTGCCATTCTGAAGGCAGCCACAGTTGCTCATGGACACACATTGTCCCCCACTGATGACAAAACCACTGTTGCATTCACATCCTTCTACACAAGGTCTGCTGCAGTTCTTTGATGCAAGAGGGTTAACACACGTGTCTGGGCAAGCACTGGTACATGGATTGTAATGACTGTTGGGAGGGCATGCAACAGCTGAAAAACAGCAAAAGGGAATGAACTTACAATCACAGCTCAAATGAAACAGTGATCCAAAAATGGGATTATTTTGAACTAGTGACAGTGTTGGTTTTTTTAAAGAGAAATGCCTTTCTTATTTTGATATCAAATAAAAGGAAAACATTCTATGACACAAAAGCATGAATGTTTTACACACATATCCTGGATATTAAGCATCTCCACATCCAAGTGAAAACTAAGCCTCTCTACATTAGATCCAGTACGTAGTTGGTACATTTCTAGAAGAACACAGATTGCTAAAGTCATTAGAAGTAGTCTGGAAATGAACAAACATATTAAAAGCAAAACATCATATAAGACTCAGAGATGATTCCACATTATCAGGAACTTGCTGCTACTGGTTTGACAAGATTCTTGAGATAATAAATAAAAGGTTCCTCTGCTTTCTGGCAGAAAACACTAATGAGATTATTTTTACAGAATTTTATTGCTAAATATTTTGTACGTAATAATACAACAAATTTAAAGATCCCTAAGCTATGTCAGTTATTGGTTAAATCAGCCTCTTAAGACAACACGGGAAAGGGAGCTATTCAAAGATTCATTTTTCAACAGAAACTTACGGCAGAAGGTGGCATTCCTCCAGGCAGGGAGAGTCACGCCGGCTGCCTGGCATGCATCGGCGTAGGCCTCCAGAGCAGCACACAGGAACTCCTGGCCACCATTCAGGGCACAAAGGTCATAGAAGCAGGTGTCAAAGTAGTCCTGAGGGTTGATCACACCGTGGCACCTCTCAAAAGAGCCAGGCCTGGCAGTCAGCATGCCACAGAACTCCTCCGATCGGTAGAGCTTCTCCTCTTCTGCACTGCAGGGTGGTGGTGGGATGGGGACACCGCAAGAGGAGTCATCGTCTGGGACCCGCCAGCTCTCCCCCAGCTCATTGGAGTCTGCGGCTTGCTGCCCGTTGGGCATCATGTAATCGTCCTCTCGCCGGTTGTTGAAGTTCCCGCACATGCCACAGGTCAGGTTGAAGTAGGCGGTGGGCACCTTCACCTCCACCGAGTGGTCAGCGTCGTAGGACACCTGGAGCTTGAAGTCTGTCTCCAGGACGATGTAGCGGCCGCTCCTGCTCACCGTGATGGCACCTCCCGCTGCGCTCACCGGCAAGGTCTGGCGCACATTGTTCACCTAGGGCAGACACACCGCAATGGACGCTGGGCTTCTCCCCGGCCTCCCTGGGGTCTCCTGCCCCAGGGAGGGAAATCAGCTGTCACGCCGGCCACTGCAAACCGGCGCCCATGACGCCCTTGCACCCCCACACCCCTGCAACTGGCAGAGCCGTGTCTCTGCTCTGCACTCTCAGGGGCCTCTGTGCAACACAGGCCACATTCCATCTTTGCCTGTCCGTCCTCTAGACCCACCCCTACCCAGAAAAGTGAAACAAAGGAACCCAGTGGCTTCAGGGACGCCAGCTGGGCCTGGGAACTGTGGTGATGTTTGGTACATGCCAAGCCCTGCCTTCTAAGGACACCAGGCTCGTGCCAGCCTCACTGCTTACCAGCACTTGGCTCCTCTCCTTTTTGGCAATGGCAATGCGCACTCCGTACACCTCAACCACGACTTCACGCACATAGGACACTCTGGTGTTCCCACGATGCTCGTTCTTGGCCTCAACATTGAAGTAGGGCAGGGCGGTGGTGTTGGAGCACACTTTGGCCAGCGTGTAGGTGCAGTTGCCCATGAAGTTGTGTGTCACCTTGTCAAAGGTGATGTAGTGAGGGTCTCCGTGGACGTGGCAGATGCCGTAGGACTCTTCAAGGCACTCAGGCTTCCCATCCTGCACCCCACAGTACTGGCCCTCAGGGCATGAGGCACTGGAGCACTGGACTTTGCTTCCCCGGGCGGGACACGTGCACTTTGAGGAGCAGGTATTGTCCGTCCAGAACTCCGAGCCCACGGGGTAGTGCTGCCCGTTGTGCCAACATCCACACTTCTGGCTGGGCACGCAGCGGTCGTTGTAGAGCAGGTACCCGCTGTCGCACACACATCCTTCCACACATGGCAGGCTGCAGTTGTAAGGTGCTACTGGGTTGACACAGGTGGCAGGGCAGGCTGCAGCACAGGGCTCATAATGACTGTTGGCAGAGCATGCTAGTGCTGCGTAATAAAAGATAAACCTCCTTATTAATCTTTTTAAACTACTGAAGTACTGGGTTTTGCTTAATATCATATTCTGCTTCGTTTTGAAGTATTTGGAGACATCTTGGTGTTCTGAGGCAGTTTGATGTATGCTTTTGCTGTGTTACTACCCTTTAGCTTCTTTTGCTTTTTGAGCTATTTAAAGTTGCCCTTATGGAGAGTTTCCTGGGAGACCTCTTATTCCTGAAGAGTATTGCTTTGAGATCTTGTATTGGGCTGAGTTCTTGATGTTATGTTAGTTATTTGTTCTAGACATGTGCCATATTTAAGGTATAGACCTGGTATTTAATTCTAATAATATTGTAGCTTCTTAATTAATTTTTTTTCCACTCCACTATGGTCTCTAATGTTTGTTAAATAATCAGGATGTACAAGTGCTCTATTCTCTTTTCCATCTTGTTGCGTACACAACATGTAGATACCCAAGCTAATTATACATTTTAAACAGTAACATTTTCATTTGAGAAAATGCCAGAAATGAAGTTTCCTGAACAATTTTTTTTGAGGTTCTATATGTTTATGTGATGTCATTCAGTTTTTAATGACATATCTTCTCACTGTATTTTTAGCCTGCTTTCATAAGGAGACAGAGATCACACAATTACGTCATACATTTCTCTGCTCATCCTCCCACTTAGAAAATATCACCCAGTAGAGGTAGAGGACAAAAACATATTCAGGTCCATTAAATGAAATAGGCACAAGGCAAAGAAGAGAGATCCTGCAGGCTTCTTCAACAGAAAGAACAGCTATAGAGAGGGCTCACTCCTGCTCAGAATCGACAGAATCTATGGGAGAGAAAACCTCAGTAATGTAGCCAGCAGAGGAAATGCTCCAGCCAGAGACTGTGGTCAAATGTGAAACAAAAGTCAGAAAGAAATCAGGCTTCAGTCATTTCAGTGTTTACAGACAAGTCTTCTTTCTTTAGTCTCCTAAACCTCTTCAGCAGCAGAATTAGTGTGGTTACAATCTCCATTGCACAGGCTTCCTTCTTAAGTCCTGGCCTTTAATTCCAGGCTGTCTACCTGCATTGCCTCCTCTCCCATCTGAAACCATGAATCACTCCACCTTTCTGGGACACTGATGCTTTCCTCTACATCCATAGATATGAATGGCTTGCACTCCCTCTTCTCTTATACGTTCAGGAGTTTGCGCCACTGATAGTGTTTCCAATACTCTCCTTCTCCCATCTACAGCTCTGCTTTTCATCTACTCTGGCTCATGTCCCTTCAATGTTCCTGTAAGGTATCATCCCTGATCTGTTGTTGCTGAGGTTGCTGCAGGAGGAGATAGCTTCTATTCTGTTATCTGGGTGCCTGGCCACGACACAGGGTAGAGAGGTTGGGGCTGGAGAAGGCAGCTCAGACTCTTATCAAGAAAGGTGGGTAAAACTCTTACATGACCACAAAGCATGTGCAAAATAAGATATTTTGTTTTTCTCAAAGATACTTAAGTTTAGGCATGGCTTCTTCAGAAGGCAAAATACTCTCCAAGTCAAATGTCCCTGACACACTTAATACCCCTGAAGAAAAATATAGAGACACTAGAGGAATTCAAAGGAAAATCCTCCAATTCTATTTTAAGATGGGCTAGACAGTATTTTCTGCTTTCATCAGAAGCAGTTAACTATTTTCACTAGAATCCTCCCCAAAGGAATCAAACTGAAGTCTTATATGTAACCCTGAAATTTTTAGCCTGATCAGTCAAGATTCACAATGCTATATGAATTAAAGTGTCTTGTAAGGCTCTGTCTTCAAGAGGTCCTAATTATACCCTCCTGACAAGTGATAATTTCCAGTAATCTTTGATACATACGGCAGAAGGTTGCATTTCTCCATGGTGTCAGTTGGACTCCTGCAGCTTGGCACACGTCTGCATAAGCCTGCATGTTTTCACAGAGGGCTGCATTGTCCAGATGAAGTTCACAGAGATCATACTGGCAGGCTTCAGAATAACTTTGTGGATCAACTACTGAGTGACAATTCTGGAATGGACCATCAGGATCTGTGATCAGACCACAGTATTCATTGCTTTGGATCATATGTTTTTCATCTGCAGTGCAATTTGGGGTGTGGCCATCATCTGGCGAGCACCTAGTGTGGAAAAAAAAAAAGATGTGGAAAAATTCACCGAAGTACTTGGGATGCACTAGCACCTAAGATGCTTTTCAAGTCACATCTACCAAAACTACAGGGCTCTCTGCAGGCTAAGCATGACATATTTTAAAGCTCTACATTTCAAATACTTAGGATAGAACATCAGATTTTAATATGATCTCACTCTTATGACCTTTGAGAGGCCTGGAAGAAACCTAAATATGAATTTTGCCTTTCTTTTAAGTCAGCCTTTCTACATGGAAGATACCTAGGAAGCACACATAGAAAGTAAAATTATTCAAAGTTAAACCTCTACTATAATTAGCTAATATATTGTGAAATTATATAATGAATGGTAAAGTATCTCAGAAGAGTTTAAACAGGAACTTCAAGTATTAGCATTGTTTTATTCAAATGTCCTCCTTTTAAGCACAGTTAAATTTGCTGTGAAACTTTATCCAGATAGATAAACTAAGCACACTGACAAGACTATATTTTATCCCAAGTGCCTGACATTTTTGGCTCACATAAAACAGTTATTTAAAACACTGGTCATTGCATAACCAACAGCTAAGGTCTTAACATCCTGGCTGGAGTCCTACCTGGAGTCATTGTAAACCTGCCAACTGTTGCCAAGGCTGGACGAGTTTGCTTCCATCCCTCCACTTGGGTTAAGAAAGTCATCTTCTTTGTGCCCATTATAATTTCCACATATTCCACAGACTTTAGACATATAGGTATTGGGAAGAGTGATTTCTGCTCTGTGATTTCCATCAAACTTGACATTCAGCCCAAAGTCAGTAGTCACCACAACGTACTGCCCACTGAAGGAAATACTGACACCCTGTGCCAATGTCAGAGGCAGCACCTGGCTGACTCCATCAACCTGCAGGCACAGAGAAGGACAAGCATTATAACCACTTCAAAAGAAGTATTTTTAATGGCGACTCTCTTAGATCACATCCCTATAACTGAACATAGGCCTTGCAGTGACTTTATCATCTACTTTGAATAGTTGTTCTTATTACATATGTAAGAAATCTTGGTTTACTTAGAAACTTATATGTAATAAAAACGGTAAATACAGAGGAAAGGTACAAAAGAGAAGCTGTTATATATGAGCTTATTATGTTTCTAAGGTCAGATGGGAAAGGTCTCATGTACATTCAAAACTTTATCTCCTGTCAAATCAATCGTTGCACTATTTTCTTATAAGAAGGGTGGTGATAAAGTAAGGTGATCTATTCATATATCGGAGCTTTGAATCAAACATGTCTGCTGCTTTGGCCCTTTATGGAGGGGAGCCATAAAGAAGCCTTAAAATACAATAGCTGGCCAAGTGACACAATCAGTGTGAGGAGAGTCAACAGATTGTTGCTCTAGGACCCTCTTATCTGGCTCTGCTTTATGGTAAATGCCATGTTAAGTGAAGTTAGCAGTGGTGTGGAATAACTAGAAATTAAGAATATCCATTCAGCTTTACAAGCTACCACACAGGATGGGGAAATAGCCACCAGTATGGACTTGGTTAATGCAGGGCCTTTTTATTCCCTGATGCAGACCAAGCTTGAGTATGGGGGGCACGCTAGAAAGGCAGGCTAGTCCATCAACCCCATCTTGAACATCAGCTCCAATCCTTCGTTTTAGCAATACAGCACAAAAATTTAGTCTATGTTTTCAGTCCTGAAATGCCAATGTTTAAGAACTCTACACTACTCCTGCTCCTAAATACCTGACTTCCCTCTAAACATTACTATATGTATGCTGCAGATTTGTAGTCATTGTATAACCATTTTTTCATGCACACTATGAGTTACTGATGATAGATAGTGGGCTTACCTTAACAATTCTATTTTTACCCAGATTGATCCTGTAGCCATATACATCAACATCCACGTATCGGACATAGGACACGCGAGTGTTGCCTCCCCTGTGCTCATTGGCCGCTTCCACGTTGAAGTACGGCAGCGAGCTGTTGCTCTCGCACAGCTTGGAAAGGGTGTAGGTGCACGTGCCCATGAAGTCATGACGCTGCTTGTCAAATGTGTAGTAGTGAGGATCCCCGTATATACTGCAGATTGCTTCTGGAGACAGAAAAAGGAATATGTTCTCATTAATAAATGGATCAAAGCAGAAAAGCCACCTCATACCTTCATTGTGCAGTGGGAAAATGCAATCATCCCCATTTTCTTGGGACCCCATGATCTTAAATGTCCCTTCAACCTAGACAATTATATGATTTTATGATTCTACAGATTACATATGGAGAAACTAAAGCAGAAAAGGAAGATTTATATGGTATAAGGCAATGCCATAGAGAGATACTCAAAGAAATTAACTGAAACAAATAAGTAGCACTGTTAGTAACAAATTTAGGTGCCCTTCTACATCCCATTGACTAGCAGATGTGATTGGCTAAAATTACCTGTCATTGGAGGCGGTGTAGGTTCTGGTGGTGTAGGGGTAGGGCCAGCTTCTGTTAACAGCAAAGACAAGGCAGTACAATGAGTTATAACGTTATACATTGAACACTACATACACACCAACATACATGAATTTCCACTTTCTCTTCATCAACATAAAGTTAGAAGATTTTTATTGAAACAAGTGTATTAAAAAAACAAGGATGTGTGGGTCTTTTGAGTGCTTAGGAAAGCTCATCTGATTGTTAACTTGGTGACAGTGGCTGAGTTTGTGCCGATGTGCTTCTCTGGAGCTGGAAGTGTATTTACAATTGGATATGTGACTCCCTCTGGTGTGTATGTTAGGGCATGAAGGTCATACTCTCTGCAAGTGTTGGTGGGTCTGGGAGTGAGTAGCCTACCAGCAGATGCCATATAGCAGAAACAAATAACTCTCAGAGCACTGGTGGTTTCTAATCACAGAGTTTTGTTTTTTTCTTCAAAATGAGATTTATTTCTTAGGCCTGGGACAGCTGTAAAAGCTCTACTGACAGACACAACAGTCATGCTGTGGAGCCTTCCCTCATGCCTGCTTCTGCTTGGAAACAAATATTAGCATTTTTCCCACCTATTCTATATCCATCACAAAGATATATTCTAAAATAAGTGGTCCTCTTGGTGTACTTGTATGTGTGAACTAGCAACACCAGGGTGAGTATTGTCTTGATATCATGTTCATTCACCTAGGGACATGCGAATGAGTGATGGATCTGAATCTCTGGAAGTACAACAGACTGACTAAAACCTTCAGAGCACATGTGCAATCACTCCTGCCCCTTTGCAGAAAACAGAACAACTGTCCTCATTCAGGTGCTCTCCTACTGCACCCTTGAGAGCTCTGTGCTATGCACTGATTGTGCAGTAACAGTCAGTGTACAAAGAGATAACCAAGTGATGAACTGATTCACGGAGAACAGCGCTTTCCAACCTACTTATAGATGCACTACAGGTATATAATCATCCAGGTGAATCCATCCAGTTGGCATTCTGTAATACTGACAGTGCTAACAACATTATTTATAGGTATTAAGTTGTAGTATAGAAAATAAGTCATAGGAGAACAAGTTAGAGATTTTTGAATAACGCCTAATAACTACATACTACGATATGGGCATATTTGCCCATTTCACATCCAGCTCCCTACTGCATTGTAAATGCAGTTTTTGCATACCTAGCCCAGAATTGCCCTTTTCACTCTTTCAACTTTGGAAAAAAATTATCAGCAAATCCTGATAATGGCTGTAGTCTCATAATGGATACTTCTCAACAAGCTTTTAGCTAACTTTGTTGTAAAGCAGACTAAAAAAGCAGAAGAAAACCTCTTCTGAAGATTATTGTCCCTTGAGATCTCAGGTGAAGAAGTTCTGCGAATGACATTATGAATGTCAAACATCACAACATAAAGACTGCTTGCTACAGTTGACTTGGAAGCTAATTTTTCATGTGACAAATGGACATATATTTAGTTTTTCATCAGTTTGATTAAAATGTCTATTCAATCAAACATTCTTTTAGAAACAAAAAGGTTGAGAGGACTTTAACTTTTACTAGGCCTAATAATTCACTTAACTTTCATCATATTTGTAGCCATATAATTTAAGAGAGAGAGGAGCACTTTTCTTTTGTGTCTTGGAGTTATATTAGTGCACTATTTAGGGAATAAATAATGTGCTAATATGCCTGGAAAAATGAAGAACTGGCTTTCCCTGGGCCCCCACCCTCTAAAAGGGCCCCAAGTATTTTTCACAGAATTTTAAAGAAAATTATATGTTCTGAGGATGTGGACCTGAATGCAAATCTTCATCTTGGCTAGAATAAATTTGGAATATTTTACTGTCATTATAGGAGTAGCATTTCACAGAGAATGAGGCCTATTCAGACCCAGTAACAATTTCTATAACATTTTCAGCAAATTTCTTGTTCAATTGACATTTTGTAAGTATTACATGCTTTTAAGTTAAGATGGGGCAAAACTGTAATTCACTTCCAGACCCTAGTCATCTATAGCTTGTGCCAGTCACAGGGTCAAGGATCAAGATCAAATTGCCAATTCATAATCAGAGGTGGTAGTGCAACTCAGCTTTATTGACTCACAGTTATTTATTTTGTGACATATTGCAATACTGTGTATTTGCTGAGGTCATATGAACTGAGATTTGCTGTAAAATTCTGATTAGAACATTTAATCTAGAACTGAAGACCAATGTGCATAACCTTGTCTGGGTTTAGAGCTGCACTTCAGACTTAAAGTTTGCTGGACCTTGTGAACATGTTCACATTTGCAGAGAAAGGGATATCTTGTTCTGAACATTTGAGGTGGTAAGGAAAGATTTAGAAAGAAACTACAACAAAACAGATACCATTCAAATGAAGCAGGATGTAATTTTTTTGCCATTTCTCTTTTGTGATTTGAAGTCATGAGGAGTTTCTATACTGTATACAGAATTGAGTAATTGTCAACAGCTTAACAGAGATGAAGAAGGAGTATCCACTGAGTACTGAGGTGCAAACACAGAAATACAGACTTACCACAGGATCCATCCCTTACTCTTACATTGTCCAGTGCTGTATCTCCATACTCTGTCAGTCCTCGGACAGCCTCAAAAATTACCTAGGCAAGATGCAAAGTCAATCACTTCATCAGAGTTGTTTAAGAAACTATGACACCATGTCCCTTAGCATGTTTTCAAAATATTTTTCCTGTTCTGTCTCTAAGGGCATCAAGTCAGCTGAGGTTATAACAGTTTTCCTAGCTTCCCCCAGAGGCCTAAAATATATATTCTGTAATAAGCTAAGGACTTCAAGAAACATTGCCTTCTATTTTGCTGACTGATGAAAGATTTATGAGATTAGTTGTCTGGATTCTACAGAGGAGTCAAATGTAGGCAGCATCCCAAAGTTCAAATCTTAACTCACAGCAGACAAACCTGCCTTTAATTAAAGCACCTAAAGTCATTTACTTCATGATAAAATGAAAGAGGGAAAGAAGGAAAAGAAAAACTAAATATATTTTATCCTCTAACTAACAGCCCCAGTAAAACTCAGGGGGCTGTTTGTTTCTTCTCTTAGTTCATTGGCACAGAGCATGAGGCCATTATATTTAAAAAATATAAACCAAGCAAATCTTGGTTATATTTTCTAGCTTACAGGCACAACATTTTGCAGCCTTCAAGGGGAGAACAAATGCTGGCATTGTACAAAGAAACTTATTCTGAAAATATATTACCTTTATCTTTCTTTGTGTTGGAAAAGTATGACTAACGGCACCATATTTCCACAAGGAACTCTGGTTTCCCCTCCGACTCCACACTATAGACTCTCCTGTGCTGTCTTTAATAAGCACTCTCAGCTCATTCCTGTCTTCTGACCCAAACATATAGTACCAGAAGTCTATGCATATTTTTTTAGAAACCACAGTGTCTGGGCTCTCAAGCCTGTTGGTGTCGAATGGAATCAGATTACTTGCTTCTTGGTAGATGAAATAGCCTTCTGCAGAGTGAAAAAAAATTAAAATATAGTTGAATCTTTGTAACTTGTTAGGTGTCATTTAAAACTGAAGTACAACCCAATTCTAGAAGATATCAAGAGCATCATTAGCAGTGCAAAGATACAAAGTAGAGGCTGTTTGGAATTCACATTGCAATGGTTAGCACCACATAATTATTCAAACCAGACTGTGAACTGGAAAGCAAAGAAAATATATCCCATCTCACAGGAACAGTTATTTTGGTTCACAACTGAAGATATAGGCCTCTTTCAAGTGTGAGCGCCCCCAGACACAGTGCCCTACTGATCCATGTTTGGTTTCCTCTTTCCTCAAAAGAAAATGATGCAATCTGCTATACACCTTCTCTTGTGAGATACATTTTTTTTTCTAAAGATTTTGGTCTCAAGATGAGCAAATCCCTAGCACAAGGAAAGTTCCAATTCATCAGCATTTGGTTTTGTCTCAAAATGGAAGGAATAGAAAGCAATGCAGACATTTCTATGAAAATATTTAAGTTTGACATCATGAAAAAGAAGGAGAGTTTTCAAAATTCAGAAACTCACAGTATTTCTTTTAAGATTAGAAATGCTTTAGTCTGAATTGGTTCAATATGAGATCACATTTTTCTTTACTAGGGCTGAAGGTTTTTGCTTCCCATGGGCTAAGATCAAAATTACATTTCCCCATTGCAGTTAAAATCAACTCTCTCCTATCTAACTACAGAAAGGAACCAAAAGCAAATGAATGACCATTTCTATATGAAAAAGAATGGCTCCATACATAACATCTAACATTCAGTCATATGTTTTACTTGGCAAGAAAATGTAAGTCACATTTAAAGTTATATGATCTGTGTCGATTCAAAAAGCACAACACTATTATTTGTGTGAATCCAAACTAAAAATATTTAATTTCTTCTTTCAACAGGCAATTTTAATTTTTATTATCAAAATACTAAAAGTGCAGAAAATTATTTAGCAAAAATCCCAACTAATACTCTTCTAATCCGCTTACTGAGTCTGACAGTAGCTGACCCTTCAGCCTCGAGATAATTACAGAAAGCAGTATGATTGCAGAATGATCCCCCATAAATGGATCTGCTATGGCAAGGATAGTGGTTCAAACAGAGAGATGGAGGCAGACTAAGTACTCGTTTGATGATATGACCATGTTAGACCTCAGTTTTTTAATCACATGTAGCTGAGGACAAGCTTCTTGAAGATATTCTTTAATTTCGGACTTGATCTTGCAACACTTTGTCAGCATGAATGTTATCTAGTGCCAGTACAGCAATCATTAAATTTATCGCCATTAGCTGGTATCAGTGTAATTTGGCCACAAGACCTCTTTTGACTAATGATTGTTGCATGTCACTGCGTTCTCTATGAGACATAAGCATAACATAATAGCTTTCATCTACTTTCACACTCTGATAAAGATTTCCAACCCATGATGTGCCAGCCCAGTTTTGTTTACTCATAACTGACATGGTAAAAAGTCAAAGACAGGCATCAGCACGTAACATAGCTGACACATTTCTAAGGTTTTCATGAATCTCTTTTTCCTTTCACAGAAAGAAGAAGAAAGGTAGCCAAACTGTCCTCAAAAGAAAATCAACATTGCCACAACAGAGCACTTACTTCCATCAGGATAGTCTCCATCAGGACCTGTTCCATCAGTTGGAGTATCATGTTTGGTTCGTATCCACACTCCCTGGTTGACATTGCAAGGTTGGGTCCAGTCACAAAATGGTCTTGAGTTGTTGTTAAAATCACATCTGGTGAGGTACGCTGAAATACAACATATTAAAGTAAGGAAGAAGAGCTTATATGTTCAAAATCTGTGTTGGATGGTAACAGCACTAACAACATGCGGTTACCTGTTTCAGGATCCCATGTTCTCAAGCCACCAGTTGGTCTTTGCTTGATCCTGCCAAAAAAAACAACACAGTGAAGCCCTTTTAGAATTAGTGACTCAAAAACTGTTTAAGAAAGAATGTTAGGACCTCAAGATATGTCTTTGGGTGTTTCACTGAATAACTGAATAGATCGAGGTTTTCATCCATGACTGACTCTTTCTCTTCCTGTATGTGCTTGCTCCTTCATGGTAAAGCTCTGACATGGGATATGTTCACTCCATGTAGTGTGGAAGGATCCTCAGCTCTGTATTCCACTGAACTGAAAGGATACCAGCTCTCCTAGGTACAGAGAGCTATGGAAGGGGTAGGTGGATGCAGCTCAGCTCAGACAATACCAGTACAAAAGCAAAGACTTTCTGCTAACTTGCTCATGGCATTGTCATCCCCATTGTTGCAAAGCAAAGTGTATGTGTACTCCATAACTGTTATTTGTTGAAAGGCTATGTATTTCCCTTAAGTCCTGAAAATCTCTCATTACACAAAGCTGTCATCTCATTCAGTTCTTCTAATTTACCCTGAAAACGCTGCAGAACAAAAACAGTTACAAAAGCATAGTTCCTGTGGTGCTACAAAGTCCTGCAGAAACAAGTAGACACAAGACCAAAACCTCACCGCAGATCACAGCCTAGATGGCTCTGTTCTTTGGGTGTTTTGCACAGGGAAAGGATTTCCAGGATTGCAAGGCTACAATAATAGTTCTTACTCTGACAATGGTCCACAGTTTCAGAAGGCAGGGTTCAGTTCCAGCCTCTGTGGTGCCCTCTCCTTAATTATCCTTATTATACTTGACACAGTATAGAGAATCTGTTTTAAGTCAATGCATCACAGTGAATGTCCCCACTGCCCCTCAAAATCTAAGTACCGACATTTAGAGAAACTTGGGAGATTAAGACGAAATATCACACAATCAATTCATCAATGAAATGCCGCAAGCAACTGGAAAACAGCCAAGCTGAGGCTAAGGAGGAAAGAGAACATGTGAAGACAGATAAAGTAAGAAAATTTCCTTTGCTTGTACTTGTTGTATTTCTTCTTTCATGAGAAAGGGAAAGCTGTGAGAAGTTGCCACTTTGTCTTTTGTCTTTGTCAGTGCCGTCTTTAAACAGTTACACATTAGGCAAATCCTAAGGCAAAGGTTACTGTAGGTATATTCAGAGCCAAAAGCATTTTATAACTACTGTGGTTATTTTTTCAAGGTCTCTCCTTTTCAGATGTGCCATTAGAAATCCACGTGTTACACGTTTCTCTCACAGACAGGAGCCAGTGCAGAATTAGGCAACAACAAAATTAAATTATTTCTTCATTTAAAAAAATTACATGGTTCAATTGTACAACATTCCACATTTAAAAAATGAAGAAACATTCCACATTTAAAAAATGAAGAAACATTCCACATTTAAAAAATGAAGAAAGGGTATTTATCATTAACAGCTAGGCTTCCTGAATTAAGCTATATTCAGCACGGTGCTACTTACCCTGTGGTATTCAGCACTGAAATACAGAATAAAATTAAAGTGTATTGTAAGTGCCAGAGGGTCCCCATGCTAGAAGACAGAGTTACGTCTTCTGTGTGATACAGATTGCATAGTAATCCACCAGCTATACTCAGCAAGGAGGAAATGAGGACGGCCTACAGTGAAGCAAAGAATATATTGACCAGAGGGTGGAGGCGATTATAAAAATCTGTCAAACCATGTATCGGTTACGTTCCCTGGGTTATCTGTCTTGAGAAAAAATGCATATGTACTGAAAGCTCATATTCTGTGTCACTCACTTCCTTTGACACTCTTAGTTGTTTGCTGGAGAAATTGATTTGGGCAATTTTTAGTGCTGCTGTTGTATATTTTGAAAGTCTGCAATTTTAAAGGGATTTCTTCTCACATTGATAGCAAGACAACAGTCTTCATTTTAAAACTCCTGCCCAGTTTTCACTGCTAGAATAAGTGAGATTTCTCGTATTGGCTGAATCTTCTCCCTTTCTGAAACTAACATTCAGTAGAGCAGATAACAAGCTCTCAATTTTTTGCACAATAGTCATGTTGTCATGGGCACAATTCAGGAACTTGCTGAAATATTATTGTTACCATATTGCACCTGCTTAAAAATAAAAGGATCCTTTCCTGGCTGCAGCGGAATATCTATTGGTTGCTGGCACAGAAAAAGCAGATGGATCTTTCCCACTGCCACTTGGGTCTTTGCTGTTCTGTTCTTTTGCAGCATTCCTTGTGTGGCATCTCCAAAGAAATCGCTCAAAGGCAGCCTCTACTTCTGCTGCATTTCATGAGTGATGAGAACCATAGGAGTATCAGAAAATGTACAGTGTTTCTTTACATTGCTGGAAACCCCAGACCATGGCTCTTTTTTTTTTTTTGTCTAACAGCAGGATGTCTCTGGGAGGGGGGTTTTCTGGAAAAGTGGCCTCTTAGTTACAATCACTTTCCCTTTGTGATTATATTCCAATGATTAAGGTCATTAAGGCTTCATAATTTAAGTCCAGAATTTCTTCAACTCCCTTTCCCTCTGCTGAGCACAAAATATTTTCACTTGCCATAAACAATGAACGGAGGAGGCCACGTACAGAAACAAGAGAAATACGGAAGGATCAAAGGGGGCTAATCAAAACACAAATATATTCAAGTTAGATGTTAACTGGTACGTTGACAATGGGCCTGCAGCTGCATTCTGCCACAGGCTCATGCCCCACACAAGCACCTCCTAAACCAGAGGGTGGATGTACACTTGACTGGTAATTATCCCTCCCAATGAAAATCGTTTCCTAGGAAAATGTGTGGTTTTGCCAATCAGTAAACAGGGAAAAGAATTTCTGTGATTTAGAGACAAAAGAGTTTCATTCCCTGCACAAAACTGTTGACCACACTTTTCCAGTGCAGTTGAGGAGACCTCAGTGTGAGAGGTAGAATACAAGTGACCCTAGATGAAAGTTGCATTGAGCACACTGCCTTTTCAGCAGCGCTACTTGAAATGCTGGTCCAGCAAGTGATCATCTGGGCAATAGCTGTCCTTAGAACTGCAACCGGGAGCAAGGGGCCCTCCATGTATGCATGTGCCCCTCTGTATGATTCTGACAAGATGATTCTTTCCATCTTGGAAAGAAAGCAACCTTCTGGTAAATCCATCCATCCAGATGATGTCTTTGACCCAACCTCACCCATGGCAAATATGAGCCACTGCAGCACCATGAACACTCTTGTCAATAGAACATGGTACGGTCTCCACCCATCCCATGCTGTCTGACCTTTTCTGTCATTTGTCACTCCCATTTAATGCCAGCTCAGGTACTCTGGGAAACGTGAACTGGAGTACTGATTAGGGCTTTTCAGCAAGGGAAATAACCCCTTTTACATATGAGAAGGATGACAAGGAAACGACTTGCCATTTGATTCCAGTGGGATGTGACGGTATCCTGTGCTCCTGACAGTCAAACTGATCCATTGCAGGCCTACTATTTCTCTTCTCCATCTCTGAAAGGTGTCTGGGAGATACTGCCATTTTATAAAAACACTGGTCTGGACTGCAAAGCAACCTGAGGAGGAAGAAGAACAGCAGTTCTTCATTTCTAATACAATGAAGCTGAAATTCTTTCCAAGGAAGTGCATTTGCAGACAATCTTACAAACAAGTTATGTTTTACTTCTGCCTTAAGCCAAGAATGCAAGCGATGCACACCCGCAATGTTAATCCCTGTTACTGGCTTCCTTGTGCTCTGCATTTCTTCCTTGTCTTCCTCTACTGCTGCGTTTCTTTTTGAAACCAGACACTAGATTTCGCCCCATCTGCAGCTAGCATTAGAAATTCTCCTCAGCTGATGCTTGTTGTCAAGGCACACTGGGACTACTCATGGGAACTAATTGCTTTTAGGTGACAAACAGATTTCCCACATGAAATCTGCAGAAGATGCTAATAGTCAGGCTTATCAATGAACAGTGTGACATGCAACATCCTCAAAAATGACAAAGATAATACTGCATACAACTTAATTTCTGACTGGCAGTCAGAAATGGGCTCTTAAAGAATTTTAATTTTTACAGGATGGAGTTATGTTTCTCAGGAGACAGAATCAGAATGATACCCTCGCAAAGAGACAGCACAATGAAGACACAACACCAAAAAATTGTCCCAAGCAAGAAAAATCAAATGGTAAGAGAACCAGATCATCCATTCTAGTGAGCGTCATCTAATACAGCTTCTGCTGCACAGTTACTCTAGCATATGTAATTGTCCTCAATTATGTAAATCTGGTTACTTCATTTTCCTGAATCCAAGTTTCTCTGATGAACACCAATTGCGCTGCCCCATGTTGTAAATACACAGTCTGTGGTGTTGTAATCAGTAGAAAGCTGGGGAGCTTGGCAAGCTTAAAGAATGGGGAAAATGATACAAAACCTCTTTCTCCTAAGCCATCAATTTGGGGCTATTTGAGCCTCACAGAGACACTATGGGAGACTGCTACACTGCCATCTAGCACAAAGCAGAGAGGTCACTGGCTGATACGAAATGCTGATGTCTTGTTGGGATGCACTTGAAGCACATGTATACCCCAGGGTCTATTCTGTTTGAAGAAGTGTTAATTCTACGTTTAGAAGAAATTTTAATTGGATTAATTAAATAGCTGTTCTTAAATGGCAGAATTCCGTGCAGATTCTCTTAATTAAGAATACATCAGGTTCAGTAAATTTGCACATAAAACCTAAACATCTTTATCTGATTTTAAAATAATATGAATGTATCTCATTGGCCTTTGCACAGATTTAACTTCATTGGTTTTTGGCATCAATTTTATTTAAATCAATACAATTTGTGCAAGTAAAAGGATGCCTCTGTTGTTTCTGTTCAGGTAATAAAGTTCTTACAGATGACTGAGTTGGTTTTTGCAGCATGTACTACCTCTCTCACTGTTTCTGGAACTCCCAGTGTTCTCTGGGCTTCAGTCTGCCTTTACTAACCTTGTGTATGAGAAGGCACTGTCAGATCTTTGGTTCCTTCAGGAGTCTGTCTGTGCTGGACTGTTGTTGGAGCTACCCCAAAATCATTGCTCTGGTAAACCTTCACTAAGGAGCTATCAAAGAAACAAACATTCATCACACATAAACCTGTAGTCAGATAGACTGAGATTATACAGAAGTGCAACTAATCTCACCTTTTGCTCTGTTAAGTAACACGCTTTGATAGGCTGAGGAGGAAGTACACAAAACCCTCTCTGTTGCTACAAAATAAACACCTAGTTTATTGATGAGTAAAATATATTTGTGTTCTGTTGAGCACAAGCTGAAGTTGTTTTTCTAAGTGAAGCTTAGAGTTTAAAATCAAGCTGTCTTTTTCCTGGTTTGAGAGCTGCAGTGATTTTGAAAATAGAATGTAGCACTCTTATTAGGGTGCAGGTGCCAGATTAACATTTAATTCTATTCCTTATGCTTTGAACAGTGCATGGCTAAGAGTAAAAAAAAAAAAAGCAACTTTTTGGTCAGTATTCTCAGGTACCTGTGGAGAATATTCCTGCATGCAAATAGTACTCATGCTGTGACCCAAAACAAACACATTTTCAAGGTAACTTTCATAAGTTTTAGATGTTTACAAATATGTACTATATGGATAATATATTACTAAAACTGTAACTATTAAGGTCTTTATTATCTTTGAATTGAAATACACTCGCAATGTATTTCATTTCCAGCATACCAAGGTAAAGTACATAGTATTCCTACCAATTAATGCAATGAAGAGTTTTCACTGGCATTCTAATGGATATTTGAATAAAGAAAAGACCATCATAAGTAAAACTATTTTCTTCTTAATTTTGGGGTGCTACACTTGCAATTGTGAGATTAGTAAATCAGTTCATAAAAGCCCAGAAATTTTCCCAAATCTGTCTGTTAATAATAAAAGAGATATAAAAGATAACTTTGAATGCGTATTTTGGGAGCAGATCTCTGGCAGGAGGAAACTGCTGATATTTATCTCTTTAACTGCTTTCTTTATGTAGGGTTGGTTTTTTTATTCAGCCATAATCTAATCAACTGCTTCCGGCTTGCTAGACTCACTGCAGCAATTTCATATCTGCACCTTGATATATTTTATATTTATTGGGATGGATCTAAAATACACAACAAACCTGTGATGTGCAAAGACCATTCTCTAACAGTAGCTTCCTTCAGAGGCAGAGCGGTGCTCTCTGTTTCCATCAATGGCTTTTGTAAAACAAAGGTACCTACAGAGATAAAGAATTTAGACTACTGCAAAGGTCTCTGATTCTGCTCTTGTACTGTTTTAATTCTAATATTCTACTGTAAAAGTTAGTGGTGCTGGTCCTAGTACATTCTAGCATAAAGGAGACTCCTGGCCCATTCTCTGTAACAAAACTGGTATTACAGATGCAGATATGTCTAAAATTAGAAGTCTCAGGCTTGGCTTAATGAATGCTGAAGTTTTTTGAATTTTCAGCTCACCATTGTATGCTCCTTCGATGCTGGTGAAGTCTGCATTGTCCCTCCTGTCCTCAGCACTCTGACATTTGCAAGCCTTTCACCTACTTGAACCTAATTTTAAACAGCTGTGTGTGCCTGGTTGATTTTTTTTTCTACAGATGC